ACTAGTAAATAACTTTAGCTTAATTTAAGTTTATTTATTAGTAAATAACTTAAAGTTTATTTACTAATAAATAACTTTAGCTTAACTTAGGCTTATTTACTAGTAGATAACTTTAAGTTTATTTACTAGTAAATAACTTTAGTTTAAAAAAACCCTATTTTTTCTAACCCTTTACCCTAACTACTAGTATAGTTTAGCTACTATTATTATACCTTATTAGTATTAATAGTATTAGAAGTTTAAAAAGTAAGGAAAAGTATATATAAAAATAAATAAAAACTATAAAGCTAATAATTAAGAAATTAGAAATTAGAAAGACTAGTAATAAAACTAAAAGCCTTTTCTTAATTAAGTATAAAACTAAAAGATAATAAATAAAAAATTATAAAATAGCTATATAAAGTTAGTTAATAAAAAATAATAGAATTTACTAAGAAAAAGCTAAAAGTATAAAAGAAAAGAATATAAAAAAGAGAAGAAAAGGTAGAAAATAAAAAGAAAAGAAATATATTAATAAAAAAAAAAGATAATAATTATAATAAAAAAGAAAAAAAAGAAAAAAGAAAAAAGAAAAAAAAAATACCTTTTATTTCTTACTAATTACTAATTAATAGCTAATAAGACTTTAAATTACTTATTTATATAAAGTTTTATTAACTATAAATAGAATTAAAATAATAACTTATTAATTATATATTAATTAATAATAAAATAATAATAACTATAAATATTTAAATAAAGTATAATTAAAATTATTATTTAATTTTTATTAAAAATTAATAATTATAAAGAAAATATATTTATTTATTTATTAAGTCTTATTATATAGTATAAACTAATAATAATAAGAATTAAGAATAACCTTAAGAATACTATTATAATATTCTTTATAGAATATACTTTAAATCTATATAAATAAAGTATAAGGTATTAAAAGTAAAAAAGAATAATAGGTAGGGATAGGAGTTAGAAACTCTTAAGAAAGGAAAGAAATAAAGGTATTAAGAATATTAAAAGGCTATAGTAGTAATTAAGCTTAGCTAGCCTAAAGGCTTATAGGGCTAAATATAGTTCCTTTTAATATAAATAAAAATAAAGAAAAGGGAATAGAATTAAGAGGTTAAGAGAATAATAGGCTTAACTAGTTTAAAGATATATAGAATTAAATATAGACTAGAATATAAATAAAAACCTAGTATATAGTATTAAAAGGGGTTTTATTAGACTTCTATATACTTTAAAATATAACTATAAAGAATTCTATAAAATATTAATAAGGTTTTTCTTTAGATACTTTAATTTTTCCTTACCTTATAATTAGTAAAGATACTAAATAGATTATTTAGCCTAATTAGTATATAAGAATTATTATTTTTATTATTTTTATTATTATAAAATATTACCTTTTAATATTAATATATAAAATAATAAATAGTATTTACTTTTAAAGCTTTATTAAGCTTAATAATAAGCTTTTATAAATAAGAAGACTAAATCTTTTTTAAATAAAAATAATAATTAACTAATAATTTAATATTATAATAAACTAAAGATTAATTACTAAGTATTTTTAAAAGACTTTTATTATAATATATTAAATAGCTTTAAAAATAATTTTTTCTATATTTATAATAATTTTTTTTTCTAAATAATATAAATAAATCTTATAAGTTTTTATACTTTATTAAAAAAAATTTAAGATTTTAAAAAAAGTATTTTTTTTTTATCTTTTTTAAAATTTCTAAATAAAAATTAAATTAAATATATATTATCTATATATAGGTATTACCTTTAAATAGGTTTTATAACTATATTTTTAATATTCTTATTTATATTTATTTATATTTATTATATTTATAAGCTAAGAACTTTCTAAAGTTATAAACTAATTAGTTTTTAAATTATTTTATTTATTAAACTTATTTTTTATATTTTAGCTTATAAATAGGTATTAGGTTAGTTAGGCTTAATATTTACTTATAAAGATATTTATAAATAAAAATATTAGTTTTTATTATTAATATTTAAAATTATATAATTATATATTTTTATTTTTTTATACCCTTTTTTAATATTCTTATATTTATTTTAAAATATTAATTATAATATTAATTAAGAAGAGTTATTAAAAGAATATAATAAGCTAGGTAGATTATTAAGAAGCCTTTCTTTAGAATTTATATAAGGTCTTTATAATTACTTTTATTGGTTGCTACCCTAATGGGCCGCTGGCTTAGTAATCAAGTAGTTGCTACCAACTTCATTACTCCATACTCCCCTTTACCTACTCTCTACTGTTATTTATCCCTCTCCATCTTACGCTCTAGCAGGCAGGCAGCAGCGGAAAAAGACGCCGACACAAAGTTAACATCGCAGTTATGGAGGATGAAATAAGCGATGTTCAGCCGTCTGAAGTTCGGTTTATCGAAACCCTTAAGGAAGGCCACAATTCCGCCATTTTCAAAGTCGAACTTCGAGGTATAATATGCGTTATGAAAGTGGTAAGTAGTTGATCTTTATTTGCAGTATTGTTTATATGCTAATATACCAAGTATCATGGTAGACGATTGTCTAACGCCTGCAACCCGTTGCTAGAATATAACCTCTTCGTCCGAGAATCTTCAGCCTACCGACAACTAAAGGCAAACGGCCTATGCGAACGAGGAGTCATTCCTGATTTTTACGGATCAGTTACTAAGATCGACCCAAGGCTTTGGCCGGATCTGTATATGTTTCATAACGATGAACTGCCAGCTGATGCCATCTTCATCGAATATGTTCCCAACATGCACGAGATAGATCTCTCCAATTTTTCGAGGGAAAGGATGGCCAAGCTGCGCGAAATTCTCCTCGAGTTTCATAAGATAGGAGTTGCTCATGGCGACACATATCCCAGGAACATGATGATAGCTCCTGGGTCACCAGGCAAAGAGGATCGGGTATTGTGGGTTGATTTTGATTCAGCCCAGACCCTACAACCAGAGAACCTGTCGGAGATAGATAGGGATTGGATTCATGAAGAAACCGAAATGATGGATTACTTTTCAGAAGGACTGGTGAGTTTTGTGTTGCGGTCACCCTAAACTAACTAACTATTCTATAGGCAAAGGATTTCGAAGGGGGTCAACTGAACATTGTGCGGTCTTGCTATTATTCTTAATATAAGCTAAAAATGATTTTAAACATAACGCTAACTACCACGTGCATACTATTGGCTAGATTGTGGAATTATAAATGATGGATATAACGTTAGGAGTAGCGAGACTATAGATCTAGGCTACAGGTGATTGAAAGAGCTACTAATTGCCACTATTGCACGACTTTAAAGTGGAGGAGAAGAATAGAAACCGATACGACGAGGTCGGGCAGTGAAAGAGAACAACATAGTTAAGCTCCGAAATACTGCAGGGTGGACACGGCTGCCATATTTCGTCGCGAAGTTCCGGCGGGAGCTTGGAAAAGAGAGTAAATTTCGACCGGCTGCGGCATGGCAAGGTCCTTCGCGTCTTAGCGTTGTTAGTAATTTTTTCTAACGCGGCTTTGCCAGCAGCATCTTCGCTCTGTATGTTATGGAAAAACGCCGTCGCAGCACAGGATGTCTTTATTAGTGTTATCCACTATAAGAGCTCGGCGCAGAAACTGCGTCTACGGTCCGCGCCATCGTGATACGTCGTACCGCCCAACAGCAAGTGTAGAACAGTCGGCCCGGTGATTACCGTTCACAGCCTATTCGCATCTCTAAAATGCTCATCAACAGACAGGAATACAAAGCTCAACCCTAAAGAAGAATAAAAGTAATAGAAAAATAATAAATGAGAAAAAGGATAATAAGAAGAATAAGAAGATTAAGAATAATAGGAGGAATAGGAAGAATAAAAGGAATAGGAAGGATAAGAAGAATAACAAGAATAAGGCTACGCTGTATAGCGTGATGTGGGAGGGCAACTCGCCCTTAAATCCTGTACCTAGTATGATTCGGAATTTCCCTTCATCAGGACCTAATAAACACCAGATCCCTCTATTTTCCCCAGTTCCCAGTTCGCATTCGCCAGAAATGCCTGGCTATTCCAGGACGTGATATAGCCATCCCAGTATGGATCGCGTCGATCCTTGGACACGATGTCGCGGGCAAACTGGGCCGTATCGCCATTTGAGGGGTCTCTAGGTATTAGGTATGCCCTGTGGCAAATCTTGGCCTCTGCACGTCACAGTAGGGATGGTGGGAATGTGAGATCCTGACTTAAACGGCGAGATGCGTTCCTCGGCCGCCCGATCTCGACACTGCTTCGAAAGCTTCTGACAAAGGCATCTTGGCCATGTTCTCAATACAGCACATCTCGTAGTGGTAACCTACCCAGAGGGTAGTTGTCGGCACCAACGCCAAGTAGAGCACAACATTTCAAGCTCCGAGGGGATTTATTATGGCGACCATGTGCGGGGTACGGCGCAGTGGGCTGTGACAGTGACACACTCGAGGGATTGGTTTTGCGTACCGGAAGGAGCTCCGCACGGCGGGCCCCGGAGTTGCGCTGGGGTTGGATACCTCGGACCAGCGTGCCATGATATGTCCTCTTCTCTCTCCGCATCTTGATCACACACCTTGACATCCCGTCCGCTTATTCTCTCCTCTGCAAAAGTGCAAACAGTTAAAAATGCCCCTAACCATCGATTCCGTCTTCCAAGCGCCCGCGCGGGATACATACAAATTCCCGTCTCGCCGGAGCGTCGTTCACAGTACCGAGGGTATTGTCAGTTGCTCGCAGCCTCTGGCCGCCAAATGCGGCCTTGAAGTTCTCCGTGCAGGAGGAAATGCAGCAGTATGCTTGAGGGAAAGACATTTTCAGCGCAGTGTTCAACCACTAACTTTATCTAGGACGCAGCTGTTGCTGTTGGTACGTCACTGCCATAACAGACTTCGCGGACACCACAGCTAACCCTATCTCAAAAGCCGCCGGCCTGAACCTCACGGAGCCCTGCTCTACTGGTATCGGTGGCGACATGTTCATCCTCTTTTGGGACGCCAAGAACAAGCAGGTCAAGGCTATGAACGGCTCTGGCCGCTCCGGCGCGCAGTACACGCTCGACCACGTCCGCGGCAAGCTTGGCCTCCAGGACGGCGAGATCGGTGCCATTCCCAAACAGAGCCCATTCTCCATCACCGTTCCTGGCGCCGCTGCCGGCTGGGTCGATACGGTTGAGAAATTCGGGAGTGGCCGGGTCGACCTCGCCCGGATCCTCGCACCCGCGATTGCGCTCGGCGAAAAGGGCTTTCCCGTCTCTGAGGACGCAGCCTACAGCGTCCGTACAAACCCCAACAACACCGTGCCCGTATCAATGAGCTAATCAAGTCCCAGTGGATGGCCTCGGAGAAGCAAATACGGAGTGCCTCGCCCAACTTTGCAGAGATGTTCAAAAAGGACCCTAAGGCGGAGCAGGGTGTGCGCGCCCCGCGGCCGGGCGAGATCATGAAGAACCCAACGCTGGCGCATACATTTCGCACACTAGCTGCAGAGGGCAAGGCCGGCTTCTACAGCGGCCGCATAGGCGCCGAGCTTGTGAAGGTAGTTCAGGATCTCGGCGGCAGCCTGACGCTGGACGACCTGCAGCACCACCTCGATGCAGGTAGCGAAGCCGTGGAGCCCATCTCGCTCAAGTTCCGTGGACAGGGCCAGGACCCCGACGCCGGTATTGAGTTGTGGGAGCACCCACCAAACGGACAAGGCATCGTCGCGCTCATGGCGCTGGGCATCATCCAGGAACTAGAGAAGCAAGGCAAGATCCCGACATTCCAGCCTGCGCACTTTAACACCGCAACCTACCTGCACGCTATCATTGAGGCGCTGCGTATTAGCTTCGCCGATGGGAGCTGGTTCATCGCAGACCCGAATGCCAGTCTAGTCCCTACCGCAGAGCTGATTTCCGAGGCATACCTTGCCGAGCGAGCTAAGCTCTTTAACCCGGCAAAGGCCTTTAATGCAGTAGACCATGGAGACCCGGTATCTATATCCCCCGCGCTGCGCAGCAGTGACACGGTGTACTTTACCGTCGCCGACTCTGAGGGCAATGCGGCGTCTTTTATCAACTCCAACTACGCTGGGTTCGGCACAGCCGTGATCCCTGCAGGCTGCGGCTTCACGCTTCAGAACCGTGGCGCCAACTTCTCCCTAACGCCAGGTCACCCTAATGTGCTCGCACCGCGCAAGCGCCCGTACCACACCATCATCCCAGCGCTTGCAACCAACATCAAGGACAACTCGTTACACTCGGCATTCGGCGTGATGGGCGCCTTTATGCAGCCGCAAGGCCACGTGCAAGTGCTGCTAGGCCAGGTCGTCGGGCGGCTGACGCCGCAGCAGGCGCTGGATGCGCCGCGTATTTGTATCGGTGCTGGCTACGATCAGCCGGGCAACACGACGGGATGGACGGTGAGTGTTGAGGAGGGCATGCCGGCAGAAACTATTGAAGGCCTGAAGCAGCTAGGACATAACGTAGTTGTCGTTACTGGGTCTGGTCGCTCGCTCTTTGGACGCGGCCAAATAATTCGTTACGTGATCGATCCGGTCGACAAGACGCCATTGTGGTCTGCTGGTAGTGATCCCCGTGCAGACGGTGCGGCATATCCTCTGTGAGAGTATGCAATGAGCCTAAAAGTAGATCGCAGCATATAGAATGGCGAACAGCTCTGGTGGGCACAATGAATTTCAGCGGCATCCATATTGTACAAAAATCGGTTCTTGTTTTACATGCCAGTCCCTTCTATAGCCTCGGCCAACTTCTTGTTGTGTATCTTCCATCGTTTTATTATCATCGTTTCGGTTTATTCCTCGCCTTCGACAACGAGTTTCTTCTCATCCAGCATCTTGGCCAGGTCACCATTCTTGTGCATCGAGACCAAAATGTCACAACCGCCGACAAACTCTTTTTCGATGTACAGTTGGGGAATTGTCGGCCAATCCGAGTACTCCTTGATGCCCTCGCGGAGCTCCGAGTCCTCCAACACATTGAAGGCAGCGAACTTCTCCGGGTTGACGCCCTGCACGCCAAGGATCTGGATGGCGGCGCGCGAGAAGCCGCACTGGGGTGTCTCGGGCGTGCCCTTCATGAAGAGTACCACTGGCGCGGATCTGACGGCCTCGTCAATGGCGGCACGTGTTTTATCGGACAGCGAGCGAATCTGCATCGTCAGGAGCTTGGGGGTCGGCGCTGGACTGAAGGAGCCGAGGGGCGCAGCGGCAACGCGCATGGCCGGTCGTGTGGCCCGACGGGCAACGTTCTATACGAAAGAGGTCAATGAGAGGGATTCGTAGGATTCAGACTTGCGGTGTTCTGCATACTAGAGCTACTGAGCGGGCAAACATGGTGGCTATGTGATGTTGGGCAATAGCAAGGATGAAATCGGGGGCGAAACTTTAGTTGCTTTGCGCAGAAAAGTAGCGAGGGGGGGCGCTGACCAATCAGCTTGTGCGTTGTGTAAGCCTGTGAGCAGCCTAGTAAACCGGACATCTAAGAGGATGTAATCTGATTCCTTGGGAGATCATTATATAGCACCATAATTATTTCACGGTAATTTGAGATATATTCTACCATAACTAGTAAGCCATCAATTAGGTGTGCGAAGAGCTGCCGGCCGACAGTCGTGGTACACTGGCTTGCTACCTACAACACCTAGAAACCACCCGCCGTTTGCTTGCACATTGTCTGTTTGCACTACATTGACGACTCGAAATTCACGTACAAGAAAGAATTGGGGAATAAACAGCATGGCTTCCGCAATTAAAGGCAACTCACAGAAGGCTTTCCTATCCCTTCGAGCCAGGCTGCGCACCCCCGAATGCTCCTCACAACAATTCTCTGGGCGGGTAGCCAAGACGGCCCAGCAAGACGGATCTAGATTCCAGGATTATTTGCAGCGCGAGCTTTTCAAAGTGCTGTCTGCTCATCTAACCCAAGAGAAGCGAAGATCCGGAACTCTAGCAAATGAAAACTACTCGTTGCTAGAACAGCTTGCGAGTACTGAGTTTGCCCGCTCTCAGCCCACGCAAACGCACACTGACCAGACCACTACTAGATTCTCTTGCCGTTTCAGGATCGAATCTGTACCACCAGACCATGAAAGACCTCCGAAATAACAGCGAAACAATCCAGAGCAAGATTGATGAGTTGAATCACGAATCGATGGCCGCGCTAGGCAAAAGCGCCAAGTTGTACCATGTCCTTGCGAAGCCACTTGCGGAGCTCCTAGACTCTGGTGGAGACGGACAAGAGGATATCGTCCCTGAGCAAATGTCCTCTTTACAGGAAGAATTCAGCAAGTCCGACGAAAGAATTGAATACCTTCACGGACAGTGGCTTTCGTGCGTGCATGCCGAGCAGCAGGCGTGGAAGCGGCTGACAGACGACGAGGACGACCCACGACCGGAACTGGAGGTGCAGGGCATCATGGACTCGATGGAAGAGCTCATGGCTAATGCGGAAACTGAGATTCAGAATATTGAAGCGGTTAGTACTTGCAGTATATCTGAGGATGGAACTATACTGACTATGGCAGGAATACGCCGAGTACATCCAGGTCGAAAGCTTAAAGGTCATGCAAACACTCATGGAAGGCTGAGCCATGCATAACCCCATTGGTGAAGATGATGCAGGAACTTGAAGAATACATAAATACGAGAAATACGGAGCTAATTTGATCATGTGTCATTGTTGCTATATACGTTTAGCTGTATCATGCGTCGTTGTTTCGTCAGCACGTCTAAGCGGCACCCTGTTGTATCCCAGTCCAATAACTCCAGCCGATGTAGGCTACAAACCTCTAGCAATAGCAACCAGTTTTTCTACTCGCAAAACAGACGAAGGAAACATATTTTTAAAAATTCATCGGCGGCCAAGGCGAACCAACAACTTACTGACCCTTCTCGTTGACGACGACACCCCACTCATGGGAGACATTGCCGTACATGACATCACCAATCCATGTCTTGATCTTGGTGGTGATCTCGCCAGCCTTGCCCTCGGGTCCCATGGGAATATTAATGTCCTGGCCACGGTGGTGAATCTGGGAGACAGGGCAGATGAAGTAGGCGGTGCCGGCAGCAAAAGACTCGAGGATGCGGCCCTCAGCGTCGGCCTCGAGGAGCTCGTCGATGGTGTATTTGCGCTCTGTTACCTCAATCTCGCCAGCAAGGCGCTCGCGAGCAAGCTCGACCGCCGAACGGCGGGTGACACCGTCAAGGATGAGCTTATCGTCGAGCGGCGCGGTAATAAGCTCCGTCTTCCCGTCCTTGCGCTTCCAGAGGACGAAGAAGTTGGAGGCGCCTGCCTCGGTGCACTCGCCATCGGCGCCGTAGAGCCAAAGAATCTGGTGATACCCACGGCGGCGGGCATCGGCAGTCGCCAGCAGCGAGGGGCCGTAGTTGGCACCGACCTTGGCGTAGCCGAAGCCGCCGACCCAGGCGCGGACCATGTCCTCGGGAGACGTGTGCAGGCGCATGCCGCCCGGGGGGCTGTCCATGCGCGGCATGTAGGTGACGATGATGTAGAGCATGGCCTCCTTCGGAGCCTGGACGCCGAGCTGGGACTGCGTGCCGATGAGGGTCGGGCGCAGGTAGAGAAAGTTACCGGGCTTGTCGCGCGGCAGCCAGCGAGGACCGTCCACTTCGAGGAGGGCGAGAATCAACTTCTCCAGCTCGGCAGGCGGGAACGTCGGAAGCGAGATGCGGCTGGCAGACATGTTCATGCGGGCGCAGTTGCGGTCGGGGCGGAAGACGCGCAGGCCGCCGTCGTAGCCGCGGAAGACCTTGAGGCCCTCGAAGCACTCGGTGGCGTAGTGCAGGCAGGATGCCGTGGGCATGAGGCTAAGGGGTCCATACGGCTTGAGCTCGGGGGCGGACCAGCCCTTGGCGGCGGACCAGTTGGCGAGGACCATGTGGTCGGTGGCAATGGTCTCGTTGCCGGCGTTGGCGACAGCCTCATCCGGGACCTCGCGGGGGTTCTGGGTATAGGTGTAGGTGAGCAGGGAAGCGTCAAGCTGGGCGACGGCGGGCGTCTGCTCGGCGGCCATGGCCTCCTTGCGCTCGACGGCGGCGGCCGTGAGGTTGACGTCCTGGGCCTTGACGGCGGAAGGAGACATTGTTGGTTGCGGAGTCGGAGGGTGGGTAGTAGCTGTGAAGGGAGTGTCGGCGACGTGGATCAATTGAATGAATGGGCCAGTGCTGAGCAGAATTGAAGAAGGTATGGAGGAGGGAGAGCAAAAGAAGAAGAAGAAATAAAAAAGTAGAGGAGGGGCGCCGTTCTTAGGTTCTGAGTCGAGACAAGAGTCAAGCGGCGGGTGGATATTGGCGGGCACTGGCGACGGGGCAGCCGTGGAAAAAAATCTGGGCAGATAAGCCGGGGTCGGCCATCTCCACTTGAAGTTGTCGCGGCTTAAAGAGGAAAAATTGCATCGAGGGCTTGTATGAGACGCGACCCAGATGTGCAATATCGGCGTGGTAAATGGTCTGCACAAATATTTGCTGTCCTTTACTTGGTCTCGGATACGACAAATAACAAACAACAGTCGAGACAACCTCCTACCAAAGCCATGCTGACCCTAGCCACTAGAACACAGACGGCTACGTAGTGCGCTCGGCTCCAAAGGCAATGAATGGCTGTTGGCAAGTCACACCAATAAATAAAGGGCGGAGGTGACGCAAACCGAGCAAGCATGGCCATGTGAGCTGGCGCCACAGAACATTTTAAGGGTGACGAAATAAGCAAGTCGAGTACGTCTGGCAGCAACGCGACATCACTAGTGGTTCATGGCGGTGTCCCGGGGGGGCCACATGACGGGAAATAGAAACTTGTTGAGCCGAACAGTCGTCGTCTAGATAAATTGGGGGAGACAGAATGGCCCGCCGCTGCCCGCGCGTCCGCAAAGCCGCCCCGCCCATGAGCCGCCCGGCCCGGTGCTTGTGTACGGAGGACACAGGCAGCACACAGGAGAATAAATACGCCTCTTGAATTCGACTGATGACGAAAGAGATCAAGTGAATGAAAACAAGACGACGGAAGGCATCGAGAAGCTAGAAGATTCCGTACATCGATTCTCGACAAGATGCCGCCGCTCGCGGCCTAGGGCTAACTATGACAACCCATGGTGTATCCGGCATGCGGCGCGCGGAATGCCTCCGGGCTCCCCTAGTCACTTGTGCCGTGCCGATGTCGCACTGCGGCGCTGTGCTCCCCGCATAAAGATCTCTGTTATACCTGGCCGAATAGCGTGGCAGAATATACTCGTCCAAACCAGGAATGACGATCCATCGTGCATCTCCAAAATACGCGTTACCAGCGGTTTTTCTTGCCAAAGCCTCGCATATTGACATGTTACGCCCTTCGCATCACCTGGCTAGTCGCTCCCCCCACCACCAACACACCAAGAAGCCCCCTCAAGGTGGGCGGAAAGGCGCCAGCGACACGCCGGGGATAGCCGAGCTCGCTCAACACCACTACGACCGATATGTGACGAGCCTCGTAACTACATACTGCGACTTCATGCAGTATTACGTGACACCTGTCGGCTGTGCTCTCACTCATCACGCACCACCAATATTCATATTATCGACTCTGGGTACTAAACATTCTGCTTTGTCCTCCTCTCTTCGTTGCCGCTTTCTCACAGAGCCAACATAACCCAAGCCAAAAAAATTGAGTCTCGACCTCGCACGCCCGCTTTTCGGTGTCTTGCTTCGCGCAATGCACAGGGTTGGGGATTTACATCAGGATTTGAAGCGCCAGGCGCAAGACTCTGGCACGTCACAGCTTGAACGCATCTCGAATCGACGAGCTTTTATTCGACTATACACGAACCCGTCTCTAGACAAAGTTGACATTGCCAAAGAACTTTGAAATGTGAAAGCTCGCCTTGTCTGGCACGCTCCACGCCCCCAGTCCCTGGTCCGGGTACGTCTGCGGGCTCACGACTGTCCTGAAAAAATTCATCCGCCACTTGGTCCCCTTGGCCTTGCCCTTGTCGACGTTGAACAGGCCGAGCGGGATCTTGACGGCGCTCACCCACGTCTGCTTGGCCCTATCCAGCGTCGTCTTGGCCGAGAAGCCGTCGGCGGCTGGGTCCGAGATGAATGCGTGGTCAAACGGCGCGCCCGCGGCGCGGTTCTTGGACGGGTTGTACACAAAGGCCTGGTATGTGACGTTGTTGGGGCTGACCTCAAACTCGAGGTACGTCTGCGGGTCGTCGGTGCCCTTGTGGATGAAGGCTTCCATGACCTCGTACTCCCAGATATCCCCGTTGGTGCCCTGTTTCGGGTCAAAGTAGAAGTTGGTCTCGTTGCGCGCCGTAAACGTGATGGCGAGCTCCGTGTCGGTGTAGCAGAGATCAACCTGCGTCGCCGGGAACGCGTCGCGGTCAGGCACGCTGCTGTTGTAGCGCACCGTGCCCCAGGCTGGACACGCCGGAACGTCGACGCTTGGCACCTTGCATTTGTTGTTGGCTGAGACCAGACTAGCAGCCGAGGCGGCGAGGACAATTGAGCTGCGCATCCTAATTGCTTTCGCCGAGTTTGGGGTGTGCTTTGGGGATGCTTTGGGACACATTGGCAACTCTTGCGGCGGTGGGTAGCTAGGTATTTGTACCTTTTTTCTAACCCTGTTCTAGGAGCTAACATAGGAGGGGCTCTTGTCTCTGATAAAAGCTCACATCGGGTAACTAATTATAACAAACCTCGGAAGCTACAAACTACCACTACATCCATTCGCAAGCCCTCCCGGCGTGTTCCTGAATGGGCACGGTGGCGCATCTAGAATGTGACGTTGCTGCAAGCAGCTAGATCAGCCCATCAGCACGATACCTTGTGTTCGCGCTAGTCTGGCCGGGCAGGTACCATGCTATGATGCCATTACTGTATTTTCTCATTTTCAGAGTGTAATAAGTGAATGAGAAGCCGCAAGAGCAAGCCACAATGTCACCTATACGAACATGTAGACAGGAAAGTATATCGAAGCCGCCACTATTGCATCGGTTACTAGTTATTGGCCTGAGGCGCGTGGGGGGTTAGATCCCGTGTAACCTTTCGGCGTTGACCCTTTGTGCGGGGAGTGGTATCGAGATTAATTTGAAAGAAAAGGGAGGGGGACGATGCAACGGTCGATGCCCGTCCCCTTGTCCCTCTTTGTGATTTATTTCCTGGGGGATCTGGCGGTTGGCGGTCGAAAGGCCAGAGAAAAGTTGGCAACCAGACCAGTCATAGTGTCTAAAGGGTCCGTGAAAAGACGAGCTGGCAGACCAATCTGAAAGCGAGGCGAAAAACCCCCCACACCCAACCCCTCCCAACCGATTGCCTTTGCCTCGCGCCACGTCACCATCTCACAACGCCTCCAAGACTCATCTTGATCTGTACAGCCTCCTCATTGTGATGTTCTGATATTCAGTACTAGTATTGCATCACTACTCTAGAAACATTTGTAGTTTCCCCCAAGATTGCCTTCCCCAGGCGCCGACTAGCCGGACCACGATCAGCCGGCACTTGCACCACACCATCTCCAGGCTGTTCAGGCATACCCTGGACGCCAAAACTGCAACTCGAGCGTCAGCGTCCGTTGTCACGACACGCATAACAGATAGATACGGCGCTCCGACACCCGCTCCTTGCCGACAAGGTCATGCGGGGTCCGGAACGAGATTTTGTTGCGACGCGGTGAATGCACCAGCTCTTCCCATCCTGCGGCGATGACTGGGGACCGAGTTTGGCGCAGTCTGGGGAAGAAGAACTTGGTGTACTCTAAGTAGGTTCCTCGGAGTTCGGAGCGATATGGTCCCTGGCGGGCAAAGTGATTGGTTGTTTGGGGTTGTTTGGTCGGAAATATTCTCGCGCCAGAACCGCCCACTGCAGCAGCCGCCAACATCAATTGTCAGCAATAATTCCACGAAAGAAACAACGCCTGTTCCCGAAAACATCTCGGCTCCGACTTAAGAGCAGCATTATATCCAGCACCGGAATGCAAACATGGATTGGTAATAGCCGGCTGTCGGGCTCCGAGCACCGTCAACGAGGCCTAGGACTTCGCGGCAGATGGTGTCATTCCGGCCACGAGCACGCCAACGCTCCGCCAAAGCACACCAAATATTCTGCGCTCCAAGCACACCCGAATCAGGGCAGCAATTCACCGGCTTCCGAGTGCCCTCCCCTCCAAAGGTATCTTTTCCATAGCTTGCCTATACATGATGTACTTTCTTGTTTTGGTAGCGTGGATCCTAGGGCCAACCATCCTGGACGCCAAAGTTGCAAAACTTACATGTATGTAGCTCGTCAGCGGGCGAGTGATGTGGGCATGCCGTGCTCTTATGTGTTTGAGCAAGGTTCCGACGCCGGTTAGATAACAAAGCATGACCTGCGCATAACGGCACAATGCCGATCTGATGCAGTTGCTCGCGGGGTATATATACCACTTCGCCTCCCACCTATCGCAAGCTCTGTAAATACCCTCACAAGCTACAATCTTATCTTTCAGGCCCTAATCATCTAATCGCCCCTTGATTATTTATTCCGGTAGCGTATGCACATTTGCTTCCAGTATGGCAGCCGCGCTTGACGTCGCTCCCGGCCTCCGTGGTCTCCCTCGCGGCCTGCCCTACCACCAGCCCGTCGACCGCAAGACCTTTCCCGACGGTCTGCGGACCAGCGGCCAGCATCCGCCGGTGGAGAGTCAGATCCGTCCGTTTGAGGCCTTTCCCACCGAAATCATCGGCCCGACTGTCTGGGAGGGTCGCGAGATTGCCCTGCGCCCGGACGAGTGGGCGCATCATTGGACCGAGAGCGAGCTTAGCGAGCTTCTCCAGGCTGTCGATGCTTTTACCATTTCCGGCAACCACCTCATCAACATTAACAAGGTACATGGCATACATTCCCGCATGGGCATGTAAATCCACTGACGATTCCCAGCACAACTTCCACATTCCCAACATCACGCGAACGCTGCAGGCCGTCCGCCTCGATATCCTCAACGGCCGCGGCTTCATTCTGTTCCGCGGTCTGCCCGTCAATCTTTGGGGACGCAAAAGGGCCGCGGTTGCCATGATGGGAATATCGGCGCATCTCGGCTACCTGCTGTCCCAGAACAAGCTGGGCCAGGTCCTCGGCCACGTCACCAACCTCGACGCCGACTACAAAAACTCGCTGGACAAGGTCAAGATTGCCGCGACCAATGCCGCGTACGATGTCCTCACCTCGTCAAGTACTCAGCGCTAACACCATAGACAGCCAGCTATTCCACACCGATGAAGCGGACATTGTCGGCCTCCTGTTCTGCGCAACGGGTGACAAGGGCGGCGCTTCCGGTTGCGCGTCGGCGCATACGGTTTGGAATGCACTTGTCAAGGAGCGCCCTGATGTTGCCAAAACATTGGCCTCCCCCATATGGTATTTTGACCGTAAGGGCGAAATAACAGCTGGCCAGGAGCCGTGGATCAAGGTCCCCGTCTTCTACCTCGAGCCCGGCGGCCAAGAGCGCGTCTACGTCAAGTAAGCAGGTTTTGGTCTTCATTCTCACTCAGGCCCCTCTAGTTACATATGCTAACTTTAAGATAACTAGGTGGGACCCATACTTCGTCAAATCTCTGACGCGATATAGCGACAAGGGCCTCATCCCCGCTCTTTCTGCTGAGCAGCTCGAAGCTATGGCTGTGCTCGAGGAGACGTGCACGCGCCACGGCTTCGAGTACGAGTGCGAGGTTGGCGACATGCAGTTTGTCTCGTGCTGCCAGACCTTCCACTCGCGCACAGCGTTTGTGGACGCTCTGCCACCCAAGCCGCCGCGCCACTTGTTGCGCACCTGGGTCGGGACGCCCGAGCACGAAGGCGGTTGGTGCTTGCCGTTCCACGATAGCTTCCACCCCAAACGCGGCGGCATCCAGGTGGACAGCACTCCGCCCACCGCGAACGCGCTCGTCGCCTCGGGCGGCACCAATTAAACTGCTTACCCGAGGGCCAAGGTGGAGGAAACAAAGCAAATTTGCCCCAGTTGACATAAAGCAGAATAATAAGAAAACATGAAATACTTTAGCCGGGTTTGTGGCCCAATCCATCCATCAGCACTATCCAAAATTATACTTTTCTTATGTAAATAGCGAAATAAAATATTCAAAGCATAACCCTTAGTATAGCCTTTCGTCTAAAGTCGTGATGCGTAGGCCGTCCTATTGATAGAATAAGTATAAGCTCCATGTTTAATAAGATGCTACATACTGACTGTAGTAATGATGTATTCAAACGCTATTGAAATATTTAAGGGTTGAAAATGAAAGCTATTACCACTATGAACATATCTACTGCTTCGCCGCAGCTTCGCGCACTGCTTGCTTCTTCTTCTGCTCCTCTTCAAGAATCTCACGCTCTCGCGCCGCCGCCTCACCTGCGGCCTTGACACCCTTGGCACGCTGACGTGCCTCGTACATCTCACGGCTTTTCATTATGCGATCAACAATTTGGCCGGCATTGACATCGGCGAACTCATGGGCGCCAACCTGGCGGTAGATTCCGAGAGCTTTGGGAGCTGTGTAGGGGTCGTAAGTGAGCGGCATAAACTTGGTCGGGCCGTGGTACACGGCGCTCGGCGTGCCCCACGGCATGTTGGTCAGGTATGGTTCCGTGGGAGTAAAGGGCGCGCCAAAAACAACGGCATTGATATACTGGTATCGTCAGCACGCGAAACTATTGTCCGGTCAGAGATTGCCTACCTTGCATTGGAGAACGCAGAGACCACGTTCGTAAATGTTCATGATGGGGTAGTTGACGCCCTTCCAGGAGTTGATGACATTGTCGTCATGGACACCAACCACAACATACGCTGGACGGTAGTCTTTCCCAGTAGCTTGCTTGCGTTTAGCGGCAGCGTCGTGACTATACCAGTCGGTCTCCTTGGCCAGTTTTTCTTCTTCCAAGAGAACATTGCGCAGAAACTCAATGTGGCCGCTGGAAAACAAATCGTAGCCGCCGTCGACATAGACAATGCGCTGACCAGGTTGCGGCCCGGGTCCCTCGAGATACAGGCTAAACTCGCCCTTTTCGCGTGCTGTCGCCTCAGACTTGGCCTCGAGCGAGGCGCGCCAGAACCAAATCTCGGCACCAGGTGTCCTGGCCGTCTCGTCTGTAGCATACAAGGCGAGCCTCTGCTTCATGGCATTGGCGGTCAACTGGCGCTCTTCTGCTGTGCCGCCACCCTCGGTGCCCGCCAGGACGTTCTCGAGGGACCTGACAAAGTGGGTGCGGGTGCAGAGCAGCATGCGGCCGACCAGGTCGGTGGTGGAAATACCCGGGGAGCGTTTGACAACCTTGAAGCGCCCCGCCTCCTTGACAAAGCGGTAGCAGTCGTTGCCATCGCTGTCGGATGTGATGTCGTCGCCGTGTACGACGTACTTGCAGCCAAAGTGGGAAATGTACGGCAGCGCGGTGACGTAGGGGGCGTGGCCGACGGAGCGGGTGACCCAGCGGCAGGCGTCGGTGGCGGCGAGACGCTCGCGGAGATTCATCACGGTCGGGCCCTTGTTGGTCATGATGTCCTCGTCCGAGTGGACGCCGCAGTAGAGCTCATTGCCGAGCTGGCGCGCCTGGACCATGGCGCCGGCGTGGCCTGGTTGCGCGGGGTTAGCGATTCCAGCTGGTAGCATGGGGCACAGCATGGCTGATTTGTCCAGGACATACCGTGATGGAAAAAGTCGAAGCAGCCATCAACCCAGATTCGGCCGTCAAGGAGCTCCGGCGCGGGCTCACCAGGTGGTGGGATGGTATTTGGCGCACTCATGATGGCGGTGCGGCGTGGAGGGGTCGCCTTGATTACCTCGGCTTTACTGTGCGATGAACCCTCTGCGCTGTAGATATACCCCAGTTTGAATACTGACACCTAAATCTACACCACCGATTGAGATTCCAAGATGCGAGGAGACCAAAATATTGGAAGCTGTTGAGGGGCTCCTGATGTGAGGTGTAGCTTGATTGATGATTGAATGATGGTTGTTGTCGAGAGTAGCCCCACTGCAACAGGAATTACCCGTACTAACAGTTGTCGCGTACCAGCACAATGTAAATCCACACTGCTGGCGTAATAATTTCATTACTCCCTGTAAAAACTAATTAGAGACCAATAGTTGACAAGGCCCGACATTTGCAGGACATGACTTGGTAGTGAGTAGTCGCTACTATGAATGATGCCCGTCAAAACAAAGGCTTTGAGCTCCTTATATCCCGAGTTATGCTTTTAATGAACTCCAGTTTACGGTCGTGGAGCCTCTGCGAGTTTTTCGAAAACTTAGTTGTGAGCTCCTCCAAGTAGAATACCAATCCGAATACTCGGCATTTGTGAACCGTTTTGCAGCCTCCTCAAAGACCAGCGTGCCTTGCTTTATTCCCGGCCATCCAAGTTCAATCTCGGCAGCAAGAAATTGCAGCGGAACCTGTAGCAACCCTGTTAGCTCGACGACAATTCTATGCTGGATTGATTCACCTTGACGCCAGGCGCAATCTCGTTGACGAATCGGTCATAAGTAGCAGGAGTAAGTAGTCCACTCCATCAATTCATTTTTCGGAGCTGATGGCGCTTGTTAGTTATTTGCACTGCGAAATGGATCTTGCCGAACTTGCCGCCTTCATATATTGAGCTCAATCTAGCGAAGCCCGAAACATCAAAAGTATTTTGGCGCACCGAGGAACTTTCGAAAGTAATCATTATCAACCTCGCCCATTTCGAGCCTGTCCACGTCGGGGAATGCCGCAATGGCATCAAGAACGAACTGCGGAGGTTCCCGCTTGGGGACACAGCCGAGGGCACTGACGCCGATTAGAGGAATGTTGTCACCCTTGAGAGCAGCGATAATGAGCGAAGTCGTAGCACCAAGCGAATCGCCAATAATGATGACGCCCATTTTACCGCCGTGGTTATTCTTGTACACTTGACTAATAAAATCCGCGTACACAGGAGCTGCATCAAATAACGGCGCGCTTGATTTTGAGATGGCGTTGCCGCCGTACCTAATTCGTGCGATATTCAGAAGATTATAAACCGGCGTTGCTGAAGTCTCTTGGAACTTTCAACTTATTGTTAGTTATTTAATTGATAAGGACATATTAGAACGATATACAAGTGTGCCATCATCGAAGTACGCGTTAATAGATATTACTAACTACTATATAGACTAGATTATGATAAGCAGCCCAGACAACAGAAATCGGCTCTTCTATAGCCGCCATCCTTGGTTATCAGAAGCAAGCATAGCTAGATACCCAAAGTCCCAGCAGCACGGTCATTTGTGGGTCCTCCTCGGATCCAGAAGCACTCCAAGGGATTGGATTCGAGAGCAGCAAAGCTCTACTGTCGTCAAGCCTCTGAATAGCGACAAGCTCGCGGTTCGTGAGGATAAAGCTGTACTTTGCTTGGTGCTGGGTCATGTAAAACTTGACTTGCGATAATGCCTGTCGAAACTCCTTCCTCGAAAATGGGCTGGGGCTGTGCTGAAGCGCCCACTCCCACTTGTAAGAAGGTTTGGCATCACCAGGCAACCGGTTTGGTCTATCTTTCGGCATCTCCACGGTCGGATCAAAGACAGCAAAGTCCGGCTCAAAGGACTCAATAACCTGGGCATTCCTTCCGGAGGCCATCATTACCGCCGTGAGGTTCGTCATCTGCGGCGAACCGGCGAGACTTTCGAAGCCACAGCGAAGGGCTCGGCGGACAAACGGGCGTACGTACTCTCCCACACCGATGCGAATATCTATCTCGGCTGCGACCACCTCTGGTGGGCTGGTCCCGTGCGGTTCAGCTTGAATGCGAGCTGCTGCCAACAACGGCCCAAACTGCTGGAGAACGGATGCGATATTGAAGTTTTGCCACAACGCAGTTGAACCAATATCACGGGCCTGGTATAGGGCATTTCTAGTATTTTCCTTCGACTGATTGTTGTCGATAACAGGTAGTGCCTCGAGACCCCGCTGGAGGTAGTGTAGGAGAGAAATTCGGTTGGCCATCCTGGATTTTAATAGATGTATAACTATATTTGGATAAGAGGTTTGTTGACAAGGTATTTTTTTCTATGTATGCTTTTCGTATCGTAATGTGCGGGATACGCCCTTGTTATAGCTTCACATCAGGCCGGTCAGTGAAAAAGAATAAGAGGGGAATTCCACAGCATCGCTGCAGACATGAGACAATTAAATTATTATCGTAACGGTATGGAAGGATTCAAAGTCAGCTGGTAGGGGTTAACAACGCAGCTGAGGGTGCGTGGCACGACGAGGGTGCCTTCCAGCAAATGTATTGGCTAAGAACCTAGGCATCCCACCATCAAGGTACTCGTCGTCCCTGTACATTTCACCGCTTGTCTACCCCAGCATATAACGCGGAACTGTGACAGATCAATCTGCAGGCTAAGGACATAAGGCATTTACTAAATGCATCTGGCGCATTCAGCGAAGAGTTCTAATCGAGGTAGACAAGTTTTAGCTTAGTGGCCGGTTCGTCCACTCCCCAACGAGTCAATACCACGCCGGCTCCGTTCTTCAGCCAGGTTACACCCTAGGGCCTCCTAAAACTGCAATACTTGTACAATTCATTGTAACAACTGTCAGTTTGAATTGCGGGCTACCTCGCGCACGCGCAACGTTGCCCGTCGTGCTCTGGTATCTGCGCTGCAGAGAAATACTTCGCGTCGTCATTGTCGGCGCAGGGAATACCGGCCTCGCAGCTACCGTATCACTTCGCCGAGCAGGTCGCAGAGTTCAAATCTACGAGAAATCGCATCTCAACAACGAATTTGGCGCGACAATCACGATTCCACCCAACGCCAGCCGGATACTGCTCGCATGGGGCGTTCGACCAGAAGATTGGGGCTTCGTGGTATCCGGGGGTGGCAGCAGCCATAATCCTTTTACGATGGAGAAGACCAGTGATTATATGACTGCCGAGACGGCGCAAGAAATCGGGGGAACACCAATGTATCTCTCGCATCGCGTTGACTTGCACAATAGTCTGCTGTGGCTTGCAACGCGCGAGCAGGGGCCAGGTGTACCGGCAAAGATACACCGAGCGAGTAATGTCATTGCCTTTGTATGAAGACCACTTCCTTTTCAAATCAGGACTTACATGGCCAACAGTAGAGCTCAGGACCCGGTGGCACCCTCTATTACGCTTCGAAATGAACAGATGATACACGCCGACTTCATCGTCAGCGCAGGACATGCTGGTTCTTGTGGGTGATGCAGCACATCCCATGCTACCGCGTATGTAGCAGCAAGTACCTCAGATCAAACTCGGGCAGGGCTGACGATTTGTTTTTAGATCAGGGACAAGGCGGTGCCCAGGGCATCGAAGACGGGCTCGTCTTAGGCATCACCATGTTCGGAACCAAGTCAAGAAATGACATTGCAAACGCCTTCAGGGCTAGCGTCATTCAAGTCCTGAGCAACATCGGGCAGGATCAGGCAAAGCTGCTGAAGCATGAGGTGCCCTTACTTGGAGTAAGACAAGATCCCTAGTAAGTCTTGTATGCATGGTGCAAACTCGGAGCAAGCTGCTCACAATAAGGGGTGCAGCCAACCCAGCGCAGATCCAGCAGTATAATTTTGGGTACAACGCGGTGGAGGCGGTTTTGAGGGCCATGCGACGCGGACGAGGTACTTTTTCGCTACCAGCGGACTATTTTGACCGGCCTGTTGTTGATGCTGTAATACCGATGAAAGGGCCTACAACTCACAAAGCGGGAGCACTCATGCTGCAGTGCGGCACTGAGACGACTGCTGCCGATGGCGCTGCCATGGAGAAACTGCCATCAAGGATCTGCGTCGACCGTGGGGGTCTTGAGAAAAATTTAACGCTTTTATTGGTAGTTACGCACAAAGGTCTACATATCATCGGAGCCTGATCCCGTGGGCGTTTTTTTCCAGACCATTTAAAGGTACTTTTGTCATGGCGCGAGAGCAAATTTGGCTCAACTAATATTGGACACTATTAACCACCGGCCTCGGCTAGCTGCCGAACTAGGCCGGCGGTGATGACCTTCTTACTTTGCCGACGACACAGTCGTCTAGTTAGACCGTGACTGCCCTCACTGACTGATTAAAAATTGGAACTCGGCAGAGCTCAGATGGAGACAGATGATTCGGGTGCTTGTGACTCACGCCAGTGCCCAGTTTCACGGTGAAAATATCAGATCATCCATCGGTCGCCGGCCAGTACAATTCGGATTGACTTATTGAAAGTGGTCGTGAAGTCATACTTGTCAATTACTGAGCTGGGCTAGAGTCAAGGACTGGGGAAATGGGCCATTCTCGGCCGTTCAATTTTTCTCATTCCGTGTAGCGAGAAAGGGTCAGTATATTTGTATGGGTGCATAAAATCGTGAATGAAGACTTTTCGTCACCAGATATTAGGCGGGCTGGCAGGCTGTGTTGTGGCTTAGACCTGCACCCTGCACCTGTCTTGGCTACTCAATGAGTCCTCATCTTGGCTCATCTTGGCGAGCCGTTTTCGCCAATCCGAAAAGTACCTAATTTCCTGGGCCTGAAATCCACCAGTCCGTTCGGAATCCCTGCCCGATCCTAGCGGGTTCCTCTGCGCCTCGGCGGCCTGTGCTTGGTCGCGTTGCATTCGTAGCCCATACTGGTATAAAACGCAAAATTTCTTCCTACATTGCCAAAGTCGCAAAGCAAACACTCCTGTTCGCGTCAAGCACATGTCATTCTTTCAACCCAACCCTCGATACGACCGGGCTCCGTCTGTAGAGCCTTTCACAACGCTGGCGACCACGCAAACACGACGATATTTCGCAGCTCTGGCGGCGATTGCAGGCGAACAACTCGCGGCCGAGTTCGAACCCCCATAACTGGAGAACTCGCGTCATAAATATACAATGTCTGTATTCTCCAGCTTGATGGCCTCTTGCAGGATGAAGAAGTCATATTCTTTGTCTCTCAAGGGTGGCCTGGCGCCTTTACCGAGTGCAACCACTCTCGTGCCAGCAACGACGAGGGCGTTTGCTTGGGCTGCGCCCCCAGAGCATGCGCTGGACAATACGCCAGAGTCCATTCTGCGGGCTTTTGCTTCAATTCCGATGGACCAAGTGCTCGATCATTTGCAGGTCGAGAAACAAGGTCTGTCAGGGGATGAGGCAGCGGCTCGTCTCCGTGTCAAGGGACCGAACACGCTTCGTTCCCAAAAGCCCCCGTCTTGGTTTATTCTTCTCCTGAAGGTTATCCCGAACCCTTTCAATGTCTTGCTGATTTTCCTGGCCATTATCAACATCTCAATCCCTCCCCCAGACTGGGTATGTATTTCCTTCTCAACCTCTGCGACTGGCGGGTTGACTGACAAGAATAGACTGGTTTCACCGTCCTGATGGTCATGGTCTCCATTTCTGTGTTTGTGCGATTTTGGCAAGAATATCAAAGCGGACTTGCCGTTTTCCGTCTTCAAATGTCCATCAAGTCGGTCATTCGCGTGCGCCGTCGCGAGGCCGAGGCTGCTATACCAATTTCCGAGCTGGTCCCTGGCGATGTCGTGCTGCTGGCTCCAGGCGATGTCGTGCCCGCCGACTGCCTGGTACTTGAGGCTTCTTTTCTTCGAGTCAGTCAGTCGCAGTGGACGGGAGAAAGCGTCCCCGTTTCAAAGCTTGCTTCGATTGGCGACGACAAAAGCGACGGCTCTCTCTTTGATCTGTCCAGCATTTGCTTAATGGGTACCGGTGTCGTTTCTGGAACAGCAACGGTTGTCATTCTTCGAACGGGCCGTGATGCACTCATTTCCGCCATGTCTAAGGCCCTCCAGAAGAGCCGCGGTCTCAATGCTTTCCAGCGGGGCATCCAGAATGTGACTTGGATGCTCATCGGCTTCATGAGCGTCATGGTTCCCATTGTTCTGGTTGTATCGGCCAAAAGTACCGGCGACTGGGGTCAAGCTGCCTTGTTTAGCATCAGTGTTGCGGTTGGTCTGGTACCTGAGATGCTACCAGCCATTGTCAACGCCAACCTCGCCCGTGGGGCGTACTTGCTTTCCAAGAAGAAGGCCATTGTTCGCCGGCTAGACTCAGTGCAGAACCTCGGTGCAATGACTGTTCTATGCAGTGATAAGACTGGAACTCTTACCAAAGATGAGATTACAATGCGAAAGGCTCTTGATTGCTCTGGCAACATTGATGTCGAGGTGCTGAAACTGGCTGTTATCGAAGCTACCATTCAAGGTGCCGGTGGAAACAACATGGATGCTGCGATATGCAACTTTCGACTGCCAAACGGCGAGCAGGTCCAAACCACAAAATACGAAAAGTCTCTCGCTATTCCTTTCGATTTTGAACGTCGCCGCTCTGCTTGCGTTGTCCGTGGCGTCGCTGGTGGTGCCATGCTCATCTGCAAAGGCGCTTTCGAGGAAGTTTACTCGCGATGCTCCAGGATGCACACAGAAAAAGGCGGGAGCGCCATGGCTGGCCATCACCGTGCAATCCTCAAGCAACAAGTCAAGACGTTGAACAACCAAGGCTACCGAGTCTTGGCAGTTGCTACGAAGCAGCTTACCAAGACGCAGATTGACGACGACGACAGTTTCGAGGAGATTGAGACGAACATGACTATCCACGGACTTCTTACCTTTGTCGATCCGCCCAAGCCAGACGCGGCCGAGTCCATCCAACAGCTCAAGGCTCTCGGAGTGGACGTCAAGGTGCTCACTGGCGACAACATGGCGGTCGCTCTGAATGTGTGCCGAGCGCTCGGTCTTGTACGTCGTGAGGACTTGGACGACGATGACGGACCTGTGGCCATGACGGGACCAGAGCTGGCAAACTTGGTCGATGAGCGAGATTTCGACGAGGCTGTCAAATGCTGCAAGGTCTTTGCCAAGGTGTCTCCCGTACAGAAAGAGAGCATCGTAGCCAGCCTCAAGAAGTACGGACACGCTGTTGGCATGCTCGGTGACGGCATGAACGATTGTCTAGCTCTGCGCAAGGCTGATGTCGGTATTTCTGTCGACTCGGCCGCCGGTGCCGCCAAGGACTGTGCGGATTTCATTCTCACAGAAAAAGGCCTGGCCATCATTGTTGACAGTGTCACCATCGGCCGCGTCACCCACGCCAACTCAATCAAATACATCAAGGCATGTTTGCCAGAACACGCAAGTGATTGCTCAAACCGCTGACTGTCAACAGATGGTCTTGTCTTCCAATTTCGGCAACGTTTTCAGCATCCTTGCCGCGAGTGCTTGGCTTCCATTTACGCCCATGACGAACCTGCAGATCCTGGCGCAGAATCTGCTGTACGACATTAGCCAGATCGCCATTCCCTGGGACAAGGTTGACGCCGAGTTTTTAGAGAGTCCCAAGTCGTGGCAGCCATGGGGTAGGTAGTACCACGCGAACAGTACCACGCGAACAAGGCCCGCCGCCAGAGATGCTAATTGCCAGTTTGTCACAGATCTTCTGCGTTTCGTCATTGTACTCGGTCCGACTAGCTCCGTCATCGACATATGCACTTTCCTACTTGGATGGTACTACTACGGAATTCGCACAACGGAAGACCCGGTCGCCGTCAGCCAGTTTCAGACCCACTGGTTCCTTCAGGGTCTCCTGACGCAAACGTTGATTGTGCACCTGTTGCGGACTGCCAAACTCCCATTCGTACAGAGCCGGTCATCTATTCATCTCGGCCTCTCTACAGCGGCCATCATGGCCATCGGGTTTGTCCTGCCGTGGATCCCGGCGTTCCACAACGCCTTGTCCTTTGTCAACCCGAACGGCTCTTTCATTGGCTTCCTACTCGTCGAACTTGTTGCTTACTGTGTTGAAGTTCAGTTAGTCAAGATGGCGTACATCAAGTTGTTTAAGAGTTGGCTGTAGGAAGCTTGACACCCGCTTGTTTGGCAATCGCTTTTCAAGGATCAAAAGTTATGGAATTCATACTGGCGGCCAATCTACTAGGATTCGTGAGCTACCCGTTGCGCAGATTCAACAAGCAGATGCACGGGTTGGGGGGGGTTGAGGATTTCGAATTGGGGCAATTGTTTCAACACAAGCGCATGTCGTGCTGCTCTGTAGAAAATACTGGAGTCAATTTATTTATTTATTGAATTACTCTAATTCGACTCTTATTGTGTCTTTGTAGTACTGGAGTCAATTACATTTGTATATTACACATGTATCGTTTTGCCGATGGCGGCACCCAGTTAGTTATTGGTAGCGCGATACTATGCCGCTGCTAAGCCCATTGTTATTGTTAGTGCACATTCCTTCCCTTCGCGTACCCCTCCCTGACCATCATTTCCCAGCACGATAGAAAATGTTTGCATGCAAGTACGAAACAGCACGCGTATTGCTGGAAACAAACATACTCTCTCGTCGACTGCCCGCGCCTTGGCGGCATGCCGATACTATGCTATCCACGCTCCTTAGTGGGCGATTAATTACTTGCTGCATACTTCAACCGGCATGTCATACTCGTTCAGGATCCCTTTCCCATGTTCCGTGCAATACATACCAGTACATACACGGTCACATCTCACGGTGTGGTCTAGAACCCCGGTCGAGCATCGCGGGCGCGCAGCCACCAACTTGTTACCTGAGTGAAACTACGACCTCCGCGCATCCGAAGACGGAGACCAGTGGCACTCGTAATACGGGTTCCGGCGGCATTCAACGGTCTACTCCATGTTTTCGAACCAAAGGCTCAGAATGATTGACGACACCGGCCGAGTCCACAAATTCGACCCACCGATTTCGTAACAACTTTTGAGTTCAACAAACTTTTACAACGATTGATACTACGTGTTCTTATTAGTCAATCTTTTGTTTTGGCTTAAATCATACAACATCATCTCATCATCGCCATACCACAGTGGCGCGTTTGCGCTGTTGAAGAGCAGACGGACAAGGTCTAATCAGTACCCCGAGATGCCTGCTGCCGGAGCACCCGCCGCCAGGGCCAAATATAGCTTGCTAGACGACTATAGCGAAGGCGCGCACCCCGAGGTGCTCGCTGCGCTGCTGCGGAGCAATGGGACCCAGGAAGTAGGCTACGGGCGCGATACCTTTAGCGAGGAGGCAAAACACCACATCCGAACCCATCTTGGAAATCAGGACGTCGGAGTCTTCTTTGTTCCCAGCGGCACGTCTGCCAATGCCATTTCCATTGCCGCATGTCTTCGCCCGCACGAAGCCGTCATCGCCGCCAGCTCTGGTCACATTGTCACGCGCGAGACTGGCGCCGTCGAGGCGAGCGGCCACAAAATCATCAATGTCGTCCCAGAGAACGGCAAGTTGACGCCGGCCACGATCAGCAAGGCACTAGACGATAACTGGCACTTTCCTCACATGGCCAAGCCGCGGCTGGTGTACATTTCCAACGCCACCGAGATTGGCACCGTGTATACAAAGGCAGAACTGACGGCCATCAAGCGCCTGTGCGAAGAGAATGGGCTTCTTCTCTTTGTCGACGGGGCGCGTATCGGATGCGCCCTCACCTCTTCCAAGAACGACGTGACGCTCAAGGATATACTCGAGCTGACGGACATCTTCTGGATCGGCGGCACCAAGAACGGGGCTCTCCTCGGTGAGGCCGTCGTCGTCAAGCACCCACAGCTGGCCGAGGACTTTGAGTTTTTTGTCAAGCAGCACGGCTCGCTGTTGGCCAAGGGCCGGATCATGGGTGTGCAGTTTGCCGAGCTGTTCCGGGAGACCCTCTACTTTGACCTGGCGAGGCAGGCGAACCGCGCGGCGGAGAAGCTGTCGCGATGCATCGTCGGCGCCGGGTATGCGTTGCGCGCAGAAACGGAGACGAACCAGGTATTTGCGGTCCTCCCTTTGGAACTGGTCAAGAAGCTTCAGCAAAGCTTTTCCTTTTATATCTGGGAGAAATACGACGACGAGTGGGCCGTCATCCGCCTCTTGACGACGTGGGCTACGGATCCGGAGCAACTGGAGCGCTTCAGTAGCATTGTGCTGCACTGGACAAAATAGTCTTTTCCCTGAACCGCTCAGTTCTTTGCTTTAATCTACTATATACTTTGCTTTATCTATTTAGTTCTCATACCGCATAATCATAAAATAGGCTGCCTAGAAACCCATGATGATCTAGGCCTCTGTCGATTGTTCGTTTTCTCCATGTAATTAATTATAAGATAAAAGTGCACAAATAGCAACCTTCCGAAATAGAGCATTGTGGGCCGCGCCTTTCCGCCGCCGCCGCCGCCGCCGCCGGCAGCCCAGGAACATGCAGTCAAATGCGGAACGCGATATTATTAATTGCAGAAACTTTGCACCGGGACGAACCCGTGCTGGCCGGGCTGGGCGCCGTAGTGTACAACCAAACTGCTGGCGAGCGCTGTAAGTTTGACCGCCTCCATCTCTGTATCCCTGGGCCACGCTGCCCTTCCCTTTTGTGGCATGCATCAAGCAAGCGATGACCAGCACCATCAAGTCACGTCCTTCGTCGCATCGTCTTGTCCCGTGGCTTGCTTCCGTGCAAAGGCACCAGCACGTCCTCAGCGGGCCGGGCATTGAACCGTCTATCCGCTGCTCCCACTGTTTCGCATAATATTGATGCAGAGTGTACCGTTGGCGACCACAATGCGTCATGGTCCAGGCAATACAACTGGGCCGCGCGAACCCGTTATCGAGGCCCGGTCAGGTGCCTGTCCATGACCAAGTTTCCATTCGGGTAGCATCGCCGGGTATCGGGCTCCCTCAGACGTTTTGCACTTGAAATAAAATCCAGGGTAGACACTCGCAACTATGATCAAGTACGGCTCTTGCCAGAACCTTGATTGGGGGCAGGTTTGCAGATCACTCACTATGTAGCCAGTGTCACTGACACCAGGTCCACCATCTATTCTAAGAGCAAGAGGGTCACTCACTTGGATCGCCTGACTCTCGCAGATGAGCTCGAATGATGCTGTCGACGGCGTGCATGGTCCCACAGCTGAGCTGCAGCAAACCATGACGGCCAGGACGTTGAAGATGTAAGTCTGCGGAGCAAAAAAATCTGAGGCATTTCTGGCTTGCACTTGACTTCAACGAGGCTATGATCCTTCGGAAGGATCACTTTGTACTACACTATACATGGTGGTAGAATCAATATTGGTCGTCCTGGTATCCACGGGTGGAGATGCTGGCTCCCTATAAATGTAGCAGAGGTTGCGCTTGCGGTTGCAAAGTTGCAGAAAAAAAAATAGAAATAAATCTTTTACACAAAATGAAGAGTCTCTTACTTCAAACACTCTTGGTTGCTACGGCTCTGGCTGCAGCCGTTCCCCTCCCACGACAGGCTGAAGGTCTCGACGTCGTCAAGACTGTGGTCTTGAAGGACGGTCAAGTACTAGACTGGGTACGAAGGGAATCTCAAGATGCCAACTTCAGCCTCCCCCTTGATTGGAGCTCGCAACGAAAGACCAACGCACTGGCAGAAAAGTTTACCAGTTTAATCCCGCAACATCTGCGCGGTCCCGAGGGCACGGTTCCTATCCCGCGCCCCGGGCTCTCGCTTCTGCCACCGAAGCAACTGCGGCCTATCGGAGGCCCTCATGCTCCCACTCTTGCGATGAAATTGTCGTCTGCCAGTCAAGATTATACTGGAGAGCACTGGTATGCCAGCACGAGCAAGCAAACAAAGGTGACCGGCGGCGGCGGCGGGATCAGCATGTTCGAACCCTACTTGCAGTCACAGCAAGAGTTCTCTCTCGTGCAGACCGCCATCGTTCGCTATGAAGCCAAGACTGTCGAGTTTGGCACCATACCGCAGTCGCTCGAGGCCGGTTGGATGTATTACCCGCCGCGCGGCCCCAAGCCCATGTTTTTCGTCTTCTTCAACACCAACGGCTACCACGGCGTTGGTGACTACATGTGCGGCTGGAACACAGAGCAAAAAGGATGGGTGCAGGTGGACGACTCCATCTACCCCGGCATGTCGTTCGAACACATGTCTGTTATTGGCGGCGAGCAGCATGACTTCGATGTCCACTTCCACCTAAGCGGCGGAAGGTGGTGGTTGAAAGCCTTTGGAAAGGACATTGGGTATTACTCGGCGGACCTGTTCAGCAAAAAGTCCAAGAAAGAGGACACTCTGGCTTCCTACGGCGATCGGATTGACTTTTACGGCGAGGTATATAACAGCGGCCCGGCTTTGACGACGACGGACATGGGCAGCGGAAACTTTCCAGAGGCTGGAGATGGCAAGGTCGGATACGTCAAGAACATGGTGTATCTCGATGGCGATGGCAAACAGCAGATGTATAGCGGCTACACTCAAGAAAGTGACGCGTCGCGCTACAGAATCAAGACATTCTTCAACTCGGGTACAAGCTGGGACTCGTACGTCTACCTCGGCGGCCCCGGTGCTAATGGCGTCGTTGGTGGTTGAGCGGGGAATAGTTGGATTTGGTAGTAGGTTTCATCAAAATAGAATACTATATAGTTTTCTATTTTTAAAGACTACCAAATGAGTTCTGTTTGTCAAGCCTCACGTGTATACGGATTTTAGTGTTTTATCTGCTTCATTGCGGTATCAGTGGCAGACGCGACGCACGAGCGACTTTCTCCGGATCACAGTAGAAAAAGACAAAAATGTCTAGGTTTCAAGACTTAGAGGATATACCGGAAGCTCGAATCCAAGGCTGGGACGGGCAATTCAAGCTCCTGGGGCCGGTTTTTGTTTGTGTCGCTGTCACCATCTCCATCGTCATTTCTGTGCATTTGCGCCGCCTCGAGGATTTTATTTTCGCGGCGCAAAGAGTAGTACAATGTTGCGCAACAAGCAATGGACAGTATAACGGCGCCGCTGTTGGCTATCATCGCAGGTAAATATCTGGGGCCAGATGATTTTGGGTACATGTATGGCGAGTAGACCTGAGCAATGTTGCCCACCATGTTGGCAATCGCGAATGCAGAGGATCGTTTCTCCAGTGGCCGAGGGATCTGTATTGCCCGATCAGTGAACCATCTCTCACCCAATCCAGCTTTGTACAACATACCGTGGAGCTCATCCATGCATAGGTAATATCATAACAGCCATATACACCACCCAAAGCCAAGAAGAGCGAAAAGTAGCGAGGTACTAAGCCTTGCGTGGTAGCGGCAATGATGAAACCAATCAATGCAAAGGTAAGCGGGATGATTAGATGCAGACATCTCTCTCCACGCTTGTCGCTGGAGACCGACACAGCCAGAGCAACAATGGCAGCGAATACGAATGGAGGGGCAGTCAGTAGTAAGGTTTGGACCTTGCCAAAGTGAAATGTCGCAACCAAGGTCGGAATAAATTGAGTCACAGCTCCTGCTGAGGTTTTTAGAACAACGATGAGTGTGAGAAGCCATAGTTTGTAGTCCAGTACGGCCATGCGCAGGCCTTGGAGGAGGGGACCGCGCTCCTCATCAACAGTGCCGCTGTGTGCGTGCAAGCGGTGGATAGCCATCGCCCGCTCCTCGGCTGTAAGCCAGGCTGTATTGGAGGGAAAGTCTGGCAGGACAAGTACGGAGCCCAGGCTGACCACGACGGTGACGGTGCCCTCGATGATGAACAACCACTGCCATGAATGAAGGCCATGCGCGCCATCCAGGCCGTACTGGATGCCCGCTCCCACAAGACCGCCAAATGCGCTCGAAAGCAAGCTGCCAGTGTACATGACGGCTGTGCGCGTTGCCATTTCCTTGGGGGTGTACCAGCTCGACAGAAGCAGTAGTGCGCCCGGGAAAAAGGGCGCCTCCAGGAAGCCTAGAAAGAAGCGGCAAACGACCAACTGTTGAAAGTTGGTCGCCGCCGCGGTGCATGCGGAAACGACGCCCCAGAGAGCCATGCAGACAGGCAAGTAGATACTCGGCCGTACTCTGGTCAGGATCAGATTGGAGGGAATTTGCAGCGCTAGATAACCGGCGAAGAGGATTGAAATGCACGTGTTGAATTCATCGCCTGTCAGTCCGAGATGGCTCTCGATCCCCTGGACCCGAGCATTTGGCAGCGCATTGCGATCAAGGTAGCTGCAACATTCAGTTAGTGGCATCTGGGATCGAATACAGGCACGTACTTGAGAACAATCATGCAAGTCAGCACAGGCATGAGCCTGCAATCCAGCTTCCGCACCAACCGTTTTTCGAGCGCCGCATACGCCTCTTCCGTCGCGGGCAACATGGCCGAAGTGTCTGCTCTTACTGCATGGCTGCTTTCATTCATGGTGAGTCGTTGGGTAAATAAGGAAACGAATACAAAGATGAACTAAGCCTATTCTCTTGAGCCCGGCTCGGCCAGTACTTGCTGATGAGGGGACGAACGGCAGAGCGCATGCGGGGGTTTTCGCCAGGGCCGCGTATGCCCGCGAGCTCAATTCTAATTGGTGCTAGATATGTGCACTTTTGCCCAATCTATAGACTGACTCTGGAGCTCGGCAGTTTTTTTTGCTCGTGCACTTTGAAGTTGTTTGCAGACGGGCCTGTCTTCATAGAACCCCCGCCTAGGGCAGCCACTGTCGCTTTTAGACTCTCAGATAAGTATGGCCCCGATCAGATCTGACTAGGCAGCAACAGTGACTTGTCAAATGCCAACAGTAATGTGCACTCATCAATAGGACCTCGAAAAAAAAAATGCAAGAACTCGGACTTATACGATTTCGGTATGCCTGATATTGAATGCTAGTGATATTCCATACGGTTGCACTATTTATTTACAAACCCCTTGCCATACTTTACAGGCGGCCGACTAGCTTATCACCAAGGCTCTTGATGCTCTTCGCAAAGTCGTCGCTGTTCTTGGCCTTCCAGTTGGCGCCATTCTTTCCGGGAACGGTATCGGCGCCGGTGAAAGCGATATACAGGACATCCTTGCCGTCGTGGCCGTTGTTACCTGTGAGGTGCTCGTTGGGAAAACACAGGTTGCCCATGGCCAGGGAAGCTTCGCCGGTCGAAGTACCGCCATTGGTGTCACCCCAAATACCGTAGTGCTAGAGTCGCCACGAGTTAGAGAGATTCCAAATACATGGCGTCAGAAAAGACTTACCACCTGGCCATTGCAAACCACAGCCATCACTGAGAGAGGCTTGATACCATGTGCCTGGGCGTTGAAGGACGGGGAACTGCCGTCATTGCCAAAAACAACATAGGGATGGACGTTGGCATCAAGGTCTGGGATGCCGTAGGTCTTGACAGTGTCCTTGAAGGCCGTCTCACCCTGCCCGCTGGGATCATTGGCACAAGCGCCGCCGGTTCTGTTGGCCCCATCGCAGTCAATGTCCATGTTGTCATAGGCACCATTGCCCTTTAGGAAGATGACATTGGCAATGTCACCGCAGTAGGAAGCGCCGCCGCTGAAAGGACCAGCCAGCTTCTTGGAGCAGGATCCAGACTTTTAAGAACAGTGTGAGAATTTCATTTCTTTTTCCCTTTTTTTCTAGACTGCTTACCTTGTGCTGATCATAGAGGGACTTGAGCTTGGCGGGGAGCTGGTACCCGGAGGCAATAGAGCCAACCGTGGCAAGTGTGAGGACAGTTGAAGAGCGCATAGTGAGTTGTATGAAGCTTCGTGTAAGTTATGTTGTGATGTGATTGATGCATCGTGGACTAGAAGGCTGGCTGTAGTCTTATAGTTTCCGCGCCCTGCTCTCTTCAATCAAATTATCCATGGTCCATACTGTCATGGCTGCTACATTCATGACCATGACAGAGGGCCGTCCGTGGTAAAATCCGTGGTTGCGCGGTCTAGGAAAGGAGATTGGCGGAAACTAATCGTCCGCCCCAAGTGGGTGGGAAATTCTTACTGAGCTAGTAGTGGCTCCCGGTGAAACAGCCACAATATCCCCCAATCAACTACTAACTGGCTCCGCTGGATAGGGCTATTTATGGCGTCTGGGGCAAGACAGCGTCCAAAGCTTCTTCAGGGCATCTGGCTGTGCATCCAATGACAAAGTCGGTGGCTGCGATCGGGCAGGCCTTAACTACCTGACTAGTGATTCTAAATAAGCCAAAACGCGCATAATTCAATGTCCGGTAAATTTTCCGCCTGCGAGTGAGATGCGATCGCCGCATTGTGCTGACACCACCCAAGCCAAGGGTCGATCAGCTGTGTTATCCGCATTTAGCATTAGCTGTGACGTTCATCGTAGCGGGTTACAAGTCTAGGGAAACACGCTCCGATCTCTTCCAGAATCGATAAAATTTGCTCAATTCAAAGGGAAAAAACACCAGTATCCCACAATCACAATTCTTTTAGACTCCTTTTCCCATCGTTCATGCTTCTCTCTCCGCAACCGAGCTCATCGCTCATCGTCTAGGGCCTTCTTCGCGCTCCTCCCTTGCACTATAAATTCACCATGTTGGCCTACCGGGCGCTTCCCTTGTCATTGTCCAACTTTTCCAAAGCATCTAGACCGCCCACAAGTAACTTGACAACACTCGCGCTCTGCTGCGCTTGCGCAAAAGCCTCCTTTCCTGCTCCCGCCCCATCCACACCATGCTGTGTGCCAAACTCGCCGACGAAGTTGTCATATGTCGTAGAAGCCTTGTCACGGCAGATGCCGCACATGAGATGCGTGAAGCCGTCGACTGTGAATCCCGCACGTGGGAAGAGACTCATGACGGCGTGGTATTCATCCAACGTGATCAAGTTGTCGCCGCCAGGGCCGTTGGGGAAGTACGGTCCCTGAAAGTCGGCAAAAATGCCACACGCCGCGACAGCGACCTCGGGAGCGGCGTATCTGGCAATGCTAAACGTGGTGTGCAGGGCAATCACGTCCCAGCATCGTTGGATGCGGTGCTGGTCCCAAGGCGAAGCATTCGCTCCCTGCTCTGCGTTGAACTTGTTGATAAAGTCACGCGCGATGTTGGCGCCATCGACTTCGAACCGTTTATCCGAGGAGAGTAAGTCTTTCGTCTCGGCCCAGCCCATGTCATGCAGGACACAGCTGAGAACGACGAGCTCCATGTCTACTTGACTGCCGGAAAAGGATGTGTCCTTTTTGGCAATAATGGCCGCCCAGTAGGCCGAGCGCACGGCATGGTTGTAAGTCAGTATGTTGCAATGCTCCTTGGCAAATTTCAGCGCCGCAGTAATAATTGCAGACTGTGGGAGTTCGAGCCCGAAGCTGGGCAATGTGGGAAGCGTGTCGGTCATGGCGTCTAATGAGTATGGAGTTTGAGGATAATCGAGACGACGTTTGTGTAACCGGACGGAGGCAGCGGGGTAACTTTAAATGAGATATTCAAGGTGGGCATGCTTCCTTACTCCAGGGCTTGATTGACACGCCACAAGATGACCCGCGGATAGGCTATTGCGATCCTTTTCGTACCCGGGAATAAGCGGGCGGATGGCAGACACCCAATAGCGAGGAAGATCAGATGGAATGACTTGCCTCGGCGACACAATCGCACCAATATACCCCATAACGCACAGGATAAAACCTCGAGTCGCTTTGTTTTGAATAAATATAGGGTTTTGTTTTAAATAGATTCAGTGAGTTATTCTGAGTTAATGCAGTGACGTTTTACAAATACAGTACTTTGTTTTGTTTCGAATAAATAAAGTGAAAGACGGCCGGTTCGGCCTGAAGCTCAAGTGGACTGTCGACTTGTATCATTTCATCGCTTTCTTGACTAAAAATACACGGCTCCTCCCAGTCCACCTCTAAAGGCGGCTTGTGCTGGACAAATACGAGTTGCCAACCTGCAGCACATGCACAGCCTCCTTGACCATGTCGTCGACAATCTTGGCGGCGGGCTCGATTGAGTTGATGGAACCAGCCACCTGGCCCATGATGTGCGGAAAGTCAAAGTCCCGACCCTCGTCCAGGTCGTGCTCAAACGGCACGATGCCCTTGTCGCAGAGGGCGCGGATCTCCTCCGGCCGCTTGTGCCAGCCCTCGATGTACTCGTTGACCTTGAGGCGCAGCGGACGGCCTGAGATGACGAGCGTGGGCTCCGTCTGGTCATACGTGCAGCTCACCACCTCCTTCTTGTGCTCTTCGCTCGTGTTGCCCTCGACGGAGGCAACAAAGCGCGTGCCGACCCAGACGCCGACCGCGCCGTTGACCAGCGACGCCGCGAGACCGCGCCCGTTGGAAATGCCCCCCGCGGCCACCACCATGGCCGTCTGGCCGCGCAGCAGCGGCGGCCTGTAGTTTTTGGCAATATCCACGACAGCGGGGATGAGGATCGACGTCGCGATGCTGCTCGCGTGGCCGCCGCCCTCGCTGCCCTGCGGGATCACCACGTCGACGCCGAGGTCCAGCGCCTTCTTGGCGTGCTTAGGGTGCCCGACCATGTTCATAACGATAATGTTGGCCTTGTGGAGGCGGTCGATGACTGCCTTTGGGGGGGTACCGATGGCCGACACGAAGACGTGCGCGCCGCTCTCAATCGTCAGGTCGATGAGCTCGTCTAGCTTGCCGTTAGTGTAGTCGTGGTTGGTCTTGCGCGCGCTGTCGCCAATCTTAGGTAGCGCCAGGTCGATGCCCCACGGCAGGTCGGGGCTCGTGAGCAGCGACTTCATCTCGGCAATGATCTCGCGCAGCTGGTTGGGCGAGTACATGATGCCGCCGATGACGCCGAGGCCGCCTGCGTTGGACACGGCCGCCGCCAGCTTGCCGCCCGCGACGTGTGCCATGCCCGCGAGGATGACGGGGTGCTTGATGCCCAACCGGGTGGTGAGCGGGGTGGTGATGGGTCCAGTAGGTGCCATGGCTGATGAGGGTAATATGTACTTGGGGAGAATTGTCAAAATGAAAGGGCGATTCGAGATGGAGGTGCCACCCTGTCACACTTATACCAAGTCTGCGCTGCCGGCCTCGGGGGGGCGGTTATATGGTTTGGCCTGGTCTGGTTAATGGCGACGGTGGAGGCGTCTAGGAACTTCCCATTTCCTGCAAACTACAGGGCATCTAGTCGCCCGAGGCTCGGCTACTTGCCACTATTGGGGAGCCATCTCCACGTTTACCCCGCGTTACAGGGCGTCGGAGCGGAGTCTGGGGGATGAAGTGAATCCGTCGGCCGTCCACTAATATGTAGCTGCCTACCTACCTACCTAGGCTTCACTGCAGCATACATGGGACACACAGACGAATCAACTCAGTACATGCGCGCGAAAACGAAACGCACCTCAGTCATTAATAATGCGTGAAAACGAAACGCGTCCTTTGCCGAATGCTCCATACGGCGCAGCCTACCCAGCCTTGATCCAGCTTCAGCACTAGGCTTACACAAGAGTCGCAACATTTGGTGGCTGGCCGAAGCTGAATGACAACAAGGCTCGCTGTTGTAACAAGGCCACCAATGGAACACGAGGCATCCATCACATTCCCCCGCCTCGGGGACTTTTTTCTCATTGCGACAGACCGGCGGATAGACAAGAGCAACACACTCCCTCAAAATGTTAAATAGTGAGTCTTTTGACCATTTCTCATCTTGGTCATCAATTTGATCAATCGTCAACATGGCTACTCCTGTAAGTGCCAGTAGAAGCAACCTTTAGCACGCTTGAGCTAATGAAAGAGCAACCCTGCAGCCTTCCATCGGCGCCCTCTTCGCCCTCGAGATCCCCGTGACCGACATTGAGCGCTCACAAAATTTCTATACGGAGCTCTTTGGCTGGGAGTTTACAGATGTGTTTCCCAGAGGCTCACATGGCATACAAACTCTACACTTCTTCACCAATCCTGCCAAGTCTATCAACGGCGCGCTGCTGCTGCTCGACAAAGGAATGGTGCCAAAGTCCGCTGGGCCCGATGCGTGGGGCTTGTGGCCGACCATTGTTGTTTCTGATGTAGCCGAGGCCATCACAAAGGTCGAAGCCATGTCGGGAGGCGTCAAGACGTACGTCGCCCACATGAAACCAACTAAGTGTGCGATTAATGCTGATTGACCCAACAGGCCTAGACTCGAACTTCCCGGTGGAAGGGGCGTCATCGGACATGTGATGGATCCTGATGGCAACGTTCTCGGCCTCTGGTCTCAGGCGTAAATGCAGTGCTGTATTTCTTACATATCAGGTATATACACTGCGTGGTATCTAAAATACTCAATTCAGCGCTACGGATAACTCTCCATTATTCGGTCTTACCAGCGGCTGTCTTGTCAACCACATTCTCCGTCTGACCGAGCGAAGCTTCCGAGTCAGTCTTGTCGAGTCCAAGCTGGGAGACATCCCAACCCTGGCTCTCGAGGTACTGTCGGAATTTTCTATCTTCCTCGGAGATGGTATCCTGGCCAACGTTGGGCAGACAAAAGAAGGCGACGGCGGCAGAGAGGAGAGCGAGACTAGAGGCGACCCAGAAAGGGTACTGAGCGGATTGGGTTTTGCTGTTGCCGGCCTTTTCGATGGCAGGGAATGCATAGGTGCCAACAAAGGCGCCAATCTTGCCAATGGCGGCGGCAATACCGTAGTAACGGCCACGGACACCAGTGGCACAGGTCTTGGCAGCCAAAAGACCAATGTTGTTACCAGGGCCGAGTTCGCCGAGTGCCTGGAAGATGCCGTACACGACAGCAAAGGCAGCGACATGCTTCGAGATGGTACTATAGACGCCCGCCATGATGTAGCCCACAACGGCCTGTGCGGAAACACCAAGGATGAGTGCATACTTGGGCCCAATCCAATCACTGACAAAGGCACCCAAGATGGTTCCAGGAATATAAAACAGGTTAATGACCGTGTTCCAGCCGAAGATGGTTGTCAGAGGAGAGTCCTTCGGGTAGATGGAGCTCAAAATATCGGACGAGTAGATGCCAAAGGCATACGAGGAGAACTGGCAGCGAAGGTTGGTTAGTCGACGCGTGCATGCAGGGCAGTGGGCTAGAAATCTTACATCGTAAAGGAACCAAATGATTGAAACGGCAGTCAATCTAAACCAGTAGTACTTGAGGACCAGAGAGTACGGAGTGGCGCGGCGCATAGATTCCTTGGCAAACTTTTCCGGCTCTTTGAGGCGAAGTCGAAGAACGAAGAGGACCAGTGGAAACACGACACCAACACCCAGGCTGGTACGCCAGATGGTTTCGTAGTGGCCATTGTGAGCGGCGGCGGCGACAGCATCTACGTTAAACTGGTCAGTTATCACGTTGCATAAGAACTAAGCAGGTCATGGGCGAGATGTTGCGAAAACAAACGTGCCCAGGGAATGCGTCACATACAAGGAACAAAGGCGCCGATAACGAAGCCAACATCAATCATGGAGTTGGTAAAGAGGATGAACCAACGGTTGCGAGTGCCGCGCTTAAGCTCCCCCGTAGACTCGGCGCAGCCAACACTGCCGGCGGGGTATTCACCTACAACGCCTCTGTTAGTGCAGTTCTTTATCCCATGGTGACCAGTTTCAAGGGCTACCTCCAATGCCGATGCCGACAAAGAATCGCCAGGCAGCAAGCATGTTGAACATGCCGATGGCGTCGCCATGCCAATAGGATCCGGCGGCCAGAGCGGTGAAGACAATAAGGATAGTGGTCGAGGTAACGAGCGAGTGCGAGCGCGACCAGTGGTCCGAGGTGAAGCCAAAGACTAGCTGCCCGAGAACGGTACCGGCAAAGGCGACACTAGCAACGACGCCCTTGGCGCGTGAATTGTCGAAGACGTCGCCGTATTGTCTTGACAGGGCCGTGTTGACGGAACCAATGACCTAGAGGAAAGTTGGAGGTGAGCGAGCGGCGCGATGCCGTATTGGAGAGAGAAGCAGAGGACGGGCCGTACGTTGTTGATGTAGCCATCGGAAAAGAGACCTGCACCACAGGCAAAGACAGGTAGGGCCGCTTGGAAAAAAGTCTTGCGCTCGAGGGCATCCTCAATCGTGGGCTTTTGCAGGTCGTCGGCGTGATCGCTGGAGTCGACGGCGGGCACTTGCTTGGAAGCCTGGATCTCGGACATGATGGCAGGTGTGGTTCGCAGACTCACACGGTTCAAGCGTCAAAGAATTGTTAGAGAATAGAGAACCCGACACCGGAGAAAAAGAGTAATAAGGAAAGAAAAGGTCACGAATGGGCTAGCGGCGGGCTTTTAAAATAATACTAACAGAGAAGAAAGGATGACGGCACTGCAGTCTGACAGCTGTGTACTTGCACCGACTAGTTCAAGTGTGGTAATGCGGAAGACGGCTCGGACTAGAGTCACTAGCACCGGTCCCCAGGTGGGGGTAAAAGGAGGCGTTCGGCCGGGGCTTGACTTATTGCCAGGAAAAGCAGCCAGTGGCTTTTTTTTTTTGGCTGTTGAATCTTTCCGTTTCGTGTCGTGCCGTGAGGCTTGCTGGCTTGGTGGTCGCGCGGCCTGCTCCGGGCTTGAAAACAAGGGAGCGGGGCAGCCGGTTCATCGGCCACGCCAAGGAAACCTTGGCGTTGGTGGCTGTTTCCCGTAGTTGACAAGAACAGAAAAAAGAAGATGGGATTGTTTTCTTGCAGTACATTGGCAAAAAGGCCATTTCAGGTCACCGACGAGACAGGATGAAGATGCAAAAGAGGCAATAAAACCCGTTTAGGCTCCCCTCTGCGTGTGGCACGTGGGCGCAACCACGCGCTGTAAGTGGTGCTGTGCTGTGCCTATGGGTAGTAGTGGACTTGGGAGCCTGGATGACGCTGGAGTTTTGTAGGGTAGTGGATCGGGCTGTCCGACGCTTGCTGGAAACCACCCTTGCGCGCTCAGCCTGCAGACAGCCAACAGGAAGATTTCTGGCGAGTTGTGGAGAAGAAAAGCCCTGCTTGTCTCGTCTTCTTTTTGCAATAAGACGCCACAGATAAGCAGCGGGCCACAGTGCACTCGTGCTTCCTGGTCGTCCCTCGGATGACGATGCCGGTCCATCTCCTACCGACCGAGCACGCAGTAACACGTGCACCGACGGGAGAGGAGAAATAAACTGTTTCCCTCGTCTTGTACAAATTACGCCAATCAATCTCGTGCCTTGATGCCAAGCCGGCGTCTTATATCCGTTTCCCATACCCAAAGTTCATCTCTTGGCCGTCTGGGCCGTTTCTTGGCAGTTGGCAGTTGGCACATGGCGCTGGAACTAGCTAACATGGGCCTAGTTAGTCGTGCAGGGAACTGCTTGAATTTTGTTTCCTGCGGGCAATATTAGTAGTGACTTGAGACGAAAAGAATATTAGAATATTGCCTGATGTTGATGCAATAGGTTTATGTTTTACGTTGTTGTCATGCCCATGCTTGCAAGAGCAAAACGCCGAAACAGGACTATCAGCACAGGTCGGATACTATAATGCAGGGTTTCTCTCGATAAATGGAAAACATCATGTTGTGTAGTACTTTGCTGTCATTTTTCTTGCTAAATTCACTCGCTTCGGCTTTTTCTAGTGCTTGCGTGGCTTTCCATCATCTCCCCTCTCGCTCCCCAGACCTTCCAATTCCAACAACTCAGTGCTCGGGATATAAAACCATAGGGTCGCGAATCAAGCCGAAAGGGTCTGCACCCGTGTCGATTGGCATGATTGGGTCCATGCAAGGAAACTGGTATTGATCATAGTTGGATACATCCAAATCTTGTTTCCAGAATTGTGTCAAGGCTGCACCATCTGCCACGGCCGTGTGACAAAAGCCATTGCGGGCATCCAAGAAGCCCGACCAGTCCATGGCCATGTCCACATCATTGGAGACCACGCTTGCCGGAATTGAACTACAGCTCGTCATGCCATCCGTGTCATCGGTTGTGGCCTCGGAGACAATTATCTTGCAATCGTCGTACCCCGCTGGTGCAACGCCCTCGCCTTTCTCACCAGGACAAGGGCTGCGACTGAGTGGGATGGCAGTTGATTCTGTCTTTGATATGCCAGAGAGCGAACCTTTCTCAAATTGAATCGCTGTCAAAGACCGCCGCTTCTTCCGCTTCTTCTCGCGTTTCAGGCGCAACGTGGAATATCTGTTCTTGAGCGCTAGGGTTGTTCTTCGTGGGACATGGATGGCCGAAATGGCTGTCCAATTTGTGCCCTGCGATACGACCTCTTGGAGAAGCTGCTGGTCCTACGCAACTGTGAGCCTCAAGAAAAATACCGTGCAATTCTTTTAATTTGCATCACTCGTACCTCTGGTAATGTCCAGTTGCAGTGGTTTATCTCTGGGTCGAGCACTTGCGTCCAGTGGCTGGAGCACTGGTCGGGTGTTCTGGTGGCCACATGCTGAGCAACCAGACGCCAGTTGGTTCCAACCTCCTTCACGGCCTGCATCAATCTGCTGTCTTCGTCGCCGGACCACAACCCCTTGGCCGTGCCGTCTGCAAGACTATTCCACCATCGCCGGCGGCAGTCTTTGTTGGACCGGCCAGGGATGTCCTTGGCGAGTTCGCGCCACAGCAGCGGCCTAGATTCGGACAGTGCTATGCACCGGGTTAATAATTAGAGTAGAAAAATTGCTGCATGACTAGGTACAGTACCTAGTTACCTGGACAACATACCAGCGCTGACAACTCTGCGCAGAAGCGCATCTTCCCCCGCAGTCCACTTTCTACGTGCGCGGCCCATGTCGGGGCTGTCGAGTGAGCGTCGCTATCCGTACGCGGTTTTTCGAATCAGCAGCGGCAAACCAAGCGTAGATATCCTAGTAACAGCAGATGGTAGAGAATTCTTCAATTTTACTCTCGGGGTGTGCAACAATGAGATGCGCCTTGCTTTTGTTGGAGGGCATATTGGAGTCGGACAAAACATGGCCGATCTGACATGCGGCGGGTGGTGGATGGCGGTTCAGCTGGCAAGTTGCCCAATAAGAAGTAGCATTGATCGAGGGTTGGCACTGACACTCGTCCGGCCAGATCCTGCGCGAAAGCCGATAGGGTCAGCACTTGATTCAGCACTTGATTTTCTTTTTCTTCTCCATACTCTAGTGCTCCACGATATGCCTTGATTTGATTTGCCACAAATTGCGACAAAACGATTCGACACCTGCACAGCCGGTGGAATTTCCGACACCGGCCGCAGTTGGTCTACCCCGCGCGCCGGTTCAATTCGACAATTGTCACAGTAGAAGTGATGCGCGCGCGCACCTATGTGCGTGCTGTTCTATTATGCCATATTATGCCATATATACTGCCATGCCATTCTCAGCAGCCTTGCTTGATAGGCGTGGTTTGTCAGCCTCTGCAACAAGTCGAGATAGGGCATCAGGAAACTTATCCGAGGTACTTGTACCTCATCCTTCCACGGTCTATTATATTCTATATGTCCAAGTTTGATTTTATCCCAGTCTAGAAAAGAGTTACTCCATATAAATGCGATACCGTTGAGACTGGAATGCCCAGCTCTTCACGAGCCTCCACCATCATGCTCTGTTCCGTTTAAACAAGAACATAATACATGTTCCCATGCCTAAACCGGCCAGGCCAATACCTGTATACAAGCCCGAGCGATACCCCTTCAGTCGATCGTCCGACGAGTCTGATGGCCCTCTTACATTCACTTCAATGGTTCCCGCAAGGCCAACCCCTAATGCGATGCCGTAGTTGACAACAGTATTGACCAAGCTAGCCCCGATTCCCTGGTGTTCTTTTGCGACGGCATTGGAAAGAGTAAGTGTTGCAGCTGGGAAGCTCATATCCATGCCAAACGGCATAATAATCATGGAAACAAAAATCTGGCCCCAGTAGATCTGGTGAACGGGAGCAAAGGCGGTCAAAATGATGCCCGTGGTGAATGCTGTCAACGCCAGCATCATGACAAACGGTGGGCGGACCTGCAAGGGGCCTAGAAGCTTTCCAGTCATGAAGGCAGCAACCCCTCCAGCGCAAATGGCGGGTGCAAAATAGACCGAGGTAAGCAGGGGCGACAGTCCGCGGATATCCTCCAGTATTTGTACAAGATACAGCGTCCAGATACCAAACGTAGCCCAACCGCACACGAGCGCGGCAAGAACGAAGCAGATGTCGGGCTTAAAGGCATCAAACGGTAACAGAGGATACTCGCTCATCTTCAGCTCCAAGTACGCAAACACCGCGAACAGCAGTACACCGAGAACAAGCGGCACAATAATCGTCGGTGTGCCCCATCCACTGATCGGTGCCTGCGTCCAAGCAAAGTTGAAGAGGATCAAAGCCACGACACCAACAGCGGCGGCCGGCGCATCCAGCGCAATAATCCACGCCCGCAATGAGCGCGGCTCTGCCTTTTGATGAGGCGGCTTCGGGATGATGAAGTAGGCAGCGACAGCAAGCACAGCGAGGCAGATGGCCATGGCCCAAAGCGCCCACGGCCACCATGCCATGGCAAGCAACGATGCAAACACGGCGCCGCACACGCCACCGATAGGCGCTACCGCGCCAAAACACGCAAACACCATGGCCTTGCGGTGACCAGGCGGGTAGGCCGAGCCAAAGATGGCCAGGGCATTGGGCAGGCACAGCGCCGGTCCGATGCCCTGGAGAACGCGGGAGAAGACGGCGAGCGTAAAGTCGGAGTAGACGCTGAGCCCGGACACGAGTGACCAGAGCGAGAACCAGGCAAACCCAACGACGAGCATATTTTTGTAGCCAAAGATGTCGCCGAGTCGTCCGGACAGGAGGATAAACGTGCCGACCGTCAGGGAGTAGCCGGCCACGAGCCATGCGAGGTGGGCGGGGTCCGTCACGCCGAAGCTATCGCCGATTTTTCGCAAGAGGACCAGCGTCCCCATGTAGGCCGCCTCTGTAGAATAGCTTCCGTCAGTATTTGGTTTGGCGATAACGGAGCAAGCGGGAGCAACTCACGGGTGCAGAACTGAGCCATGCAGACGACTGCGACGAAGAGCGCCTCTCTCGTCTTGGACATGGACGCCGATATCCATACAGACTCGGCAATTGAGGGCTTCTTAGCGGCCGAGTCGTCGCTGGAAGCATTGTGCCCGTTGCGCTCCGACTCTGGGAGCGAAAAGCTCTCATGATCCGTCATGCTTCTCGGACAGGACACTAGAGGGCCATTGAGGCCATGGAAGGAAGGAGTCTTCAGCCATCCCTTGGCAAGTTAAATAAATCCGAGGGGTCACAGCTTCGATATTTGATCTACATTAGTCAGAAGGAGGTGGGTCGATAATTTGATATGTAAAAAAATATCAATCAGGCAAGAGCAAGCGCTAGGGCGCGCGGTCATCCCACCGAAGCTTTTGAGATGTGGCGTGACTAGTTTGTTGCCAGAAAACATGTCTTATACATATCCACATGGTAAGAGTATCCGTATTAGATAATTTGGTCGGGTGTCAACCGCTGAGACACCGAAATCCCAGATAAGGTTTATTTCATCGCCTATGCAATCGCGGAGACAGGTAACAGTCAATAATCCAGTAATACGATATATATTGCTTTCGGTAAATTGCTAAGCTGCTCATTGTTCATCAAGTCACCCGTCTAGCTACACAGCATGCCAAAAATAAAGCTAGCCTACCCTGTAGTATCGTAGACGGGGATTTCCGGACTCATACTTCCAATCCAAGTGAAACACAATTCATCTTTCTCTTCCAAGCTTGCGGCGTTACTAAGGTGGCAAACGCTTTTGTGCGGCCGCCAGCTTGCTCATAATAAATCCCACGAGAGACAAACCAGACTCTGCCTTGCCGTCCAATGCAAACACATGTACACATCGGCAGAGCGCAGCCTCGAGAAGTCGGACGGCTACGTCATGAAGAGGTTAGACTAAAAAGAAAGACCCGAAATCCGATCGTGGCATTCAGTAGCCCTTTCGAATGAAACAATGGCACTTTGGCGCGACACGCACAAACATCAGTTGAACCCGACGGCCACATATGTACCAACGGCCGCGCAAGATATTCGTCAGGGAATTACGTTTGAGAGCAACTGTGGCATGACGACGAGTCCCGCTGACGCGCCTGTAGAAATTACGACAGCTCAACAAAATTTACAAGCCGACTCCCGATCGATAATTAAAGTTGATTCATTTGAGTCGCATGTGATAGCACACCGAGCCGCACGTGAATATGCCTCAACGTTTCAGGAACGAAAATTTCACTTGTCACAATAGCGCAATGTACGCCTTCTTCCGTTCAGAAAAAGAGCCCATGGAGGTAGCACATTTTCAAGCAAAGATTGTCCATTGTTCCGACCATTCTGACCATCAACTGTATGGGAATACGACGCCCAGCGCAACGTGCCTTTGCCATCTGTGGCCGCGCCTCGAGGCGCCTCGATCTTAGTGTAAGCCAGCACTCTTGGCATCGTTCAAATGACGCCAAAATGCACTAGTTATCGTTATAAATAGCCAGAGTCTTTTCGAGGTTGAGGGACCTGGCGTAACTATTGAATGTGCAGCCGCCTTCATTGTACCCATTGTGGAAGCCTCTAGCGAAAGCCACGCTCCTATTGAATACGCTGTTACGACCGAATCCCCAAAGGTGCTAGTACGTTAGTTACTGAATTCCTGGTTAACTAGTAAAAAGTAGTTGAAGCGCTGAACGTCTGAGCGGGAGACCAATAGGCGGGAGACCAATAGTTTGCTTTCCACCGACTCCGCTTGTTGATTTAGACTTTGCGCGGCCTCCGCGCCAGCCTTACCAGGACTGGGCGACACCCCAACAGTTCAACGACGAATGCTAATAAATGGGCCGTATAATCACAAGCCAGCCGAGGACTGGCAGGCAGAGTGCGGGGTCAAAAACTACCATTACCCAGACTGTAACGGGTTACTGCAGGGGCACAATGTGAGGATGGTGTCCACAGGTTTTCATGTGACGGACGTGCCCGTTACCGAGAGCGGCAAATGGACTGGGGAATGGCGGGAATGATGAGGGGGTGTTTGCGGGGAGGCGAGGGACCTGAGACGGCCATAAGTACTCGATCTGGCGCCTGTCCCTCGATCGAAATGTCGTCGCCGACACTTGCTCCTCAAACGAAGTCATCCAATTGAGAAGCCTCCTCACCTCAGCACGCCGCTCCCATCCCCAGCAAGCCGCTGCCCACCACACGCGCGCCCTGTGACCATGGCGAGCATCGACCGCAACCCCAAAGACTCGATGAAGTCAACCTGGCGCACCGCCGACCGCAGCCAGTGGAACCTCGCCCACTGGTTCTACGAGCTCTTCGACCTGCACCTCGTCGACCTGGCCACGCCGGTGCCCGTACACGCCAAGAGCGACAAGATGCCGTACGTGCCCGAGCTCGTCATGCACCGTTGGATCCTCACGCACGCCGTCGTGCCCGTCGCGGTGCAGCAGGCCTACTACATGTACACGGGGCACAACCTGGGCGTACTCCCCACCCTGATTCTCTACTCGGCGGCGTTCAAATTCAACGCCATCCGGCAGCTTAAGACGATGCGCGTCATGGGGCAGCAGGTCGGCTTCCTCGACGGCGACGAGCACGAGCGCGACGGCATCCCGGATGTCGGCGTCCTCAAGGTCTTTCTCTCGCTCGTCTACACGTCCATCTCGCGCCCCGTCTTCACCGTGCTGCTCAGCTACCGCGCCGCCGTCGCGCCGCAGGACATCAACTGGGCGTGGCTGCCCGTCGAAATCGGCTTCTATAGCATCATTCTCGACTTTTGGTTCTACTGGTACCACCGGCTGATGCACGATGTCTCGTTCCTCTGGAAGTTTCACCGCACCCATCACCTGACCAAGCACCCGAACCCGCTCCTGACTCTCTATGCCGATACGGAGCAGGAGATTTTTGACATTGCTGGCATCCCCATCATGGCGTGGGTTACGATGAAGCTGATGGGATTCCCCATGAGCTTTTACGAGTGGTGGTTCTGCCACCAGTACGTCGTCTTCGCCGAGCTTGCTGGCCACAGTGGTCTCCGTCTGCTGGCCACCCCCCCGAGCACGTTTACTTGGATCCTCAAGATTTTCAAGGCCGAGCTTGTCATCGAGGACCATGACCTGCACCACCGGAAGGGGTGGAAGAAAAGCGGCAACTACGGCAAGCAAACCCGCCTGTGGGACGTCATCTTTGGCACCTGCAAGGACCGTATCGAGACCAAGATGGACCAGGTTGATTGGGACACTGCGATTGGTATGCCTGCATTCTAGGTTTTGTGATGAGATTTATCAACGACAGCTTTTGCCAAGGACTTTTGTCAATGCCGACTACGAGTTTTAAAATTGGTATAACGGATGAGTGAGGATCCTCCCTCTTGGCGACGAGAGTTAAAATTATGATTGGGATAGATGGAAGTAGCATTTTGTACAAAACATAGAGCTCTTATGTATTGGAAAGCGATACCCTATAATCAAGATTTGAAAAAGAGAAAAGGAAAAAATGATAAAAACAGTAGTTACCCGTTGTATACGTTGGGATGGTCTCGTTATGTAATAATGGTGTTGAAGCAGTTTCGCTGAACAGTCCCTCTATGAATATAACCCCTTGCCAATCAATATGACCGAACCCCCGCCAATCAATATGACCGAACCCCCGCCAATCAATATGACCCCTTGCCAATCTATCTATACAAATATTTTTACTTCCCACCATCTAGTACAACGCTTCTCGGCTGACGCCTGCGTAGAAAAGTCAAAAGTGCTTTTTCTTTGTACAAGTAGTCCTTCACGGCGCGGATGTGCGCATTGACAACCACAGCAAAGATAGAGAAAACAGAACAGCAGCAATGATGGCATATCTCAACCTTGCGGGGTGGTTCTGCCGTACGTTGTTGACCCTCAGAGTCGCTTCTTGTGCAAGGACTCTTAGAGTGTCGCTGCCCAGCTTGTAGTAGACCAGGCCGCCTAGTGCAATAGAATAGCCGACAAACTGCTGGCCGGTGACGGGATCTCGGAAGAGCAGCATCGACGAGATGACCAAGAGAATATCTTTCAGGATGCCTGACATGGTCAAGACGACGGCCGATGTTTTGCCAATCTAGAGCGAGGTGAGTGAGTGGTCAACATTGGGCAAGAGAAGAAGATCATACCAGAAGAACGGTGGAGACATTGAGCAAGAATGCAACAATGGCATTGACAAGGAATAATGGAGCACCAACGCTGGCAAAATCAGCCAACTTCATGCGCGGGACCTCAACAATGGCCATGAGGGCACCATTGATGAGGGCGCAGGCTGGGGCGTAGTAATATAGGGAGACCATGGGGTCCATCTTGAACTCGGGCGAGCTGAGGAGTCTCTGGACCATGACGAGGCGCAGAGCTTCGAAGATGATGCCGCATGCTTGAACTATTCCTTTGTGTCAGATTGGGTGCGTGGCTTGGTCGAGCACCTAAGGTAGTTATTGCTTACATAGAAATCCCAACAAGTGAAATTTGATCTCGCCGAGCGAAGCAATGACAACCCCCAGCACGATGACAGCGACGTTTCCGAGCACATTGAAGTTTGGTGGCACAATTTTGAATGCCCAAGTCGCCAAAAGCGTAACGACTGAAGTGGATGCCTACGAGGATTAGTTACAACCCGACACACTCACGATGGTATTTACCTTGAGCATCTGGATGAAGGAGACGCTAAGGTAGAGATAAGCGAGATTGCCTCCGATCAGACTAAGGCTGAAGAAGACGACAATGGGGAGAATGGCTCGCTTGTACGTGTCAAAATCCATGGGCACATTGTGTCTTGAATCTAGCAAAGTTGTGTAGCGAGCCATGAGCTGCGTCATGGCAGCGGCAAACGTCATGTGCCATGTGGTGAGGAAGAGAGCTAGCACACCGTTAGTAGACGACTAGACGAGCAGTGGCGAGAGAGGACTGACGAAAACCTATACTGCGTTAGTATTAAGTGGCATGGCAACGCTCACGCTAGAAGCTTGGACGTACGAAAATTGGTAGTGGCAAGAAGCCATTTGTTGAATAGAATGACGCCTGAGCTGGTCGCAATCCAGAAGCTAGCGACAGTCAGTCGCGTAAGACAGGACGACGAGTTTTGAAGCTACACACGCAATATACAATGCAGGATGAAGCTGCTCGCTGATGAAGGATGACTGATTGGGCGGCTGGGCGGGAAGCGGCAGAGACTGTTCCGTCTTGCGCTCCACGAGGCCAGCCTCGAGCTCATGCTCGCGGGCATCGGTGCCAGGGCTGGGTGATGGCGCCATTCCGTGACGTTGAGCACGGCGCAATCGCGTCAAGACGGGCCAAAAAAATCAACGCTGGTGCTGCCGCGACAAGTGGTGCGCTCGCATTGGTGGATGGGCAGCCTGTCTCGTCAGGCACGAAAAAGGAGAGTGATGATGATGTGTCAAACTCGACTGACGCAGTTGGCCAAGCTGTTGCGCGTTTTGCCAGGATTCCATTGGACGCGACACGCTGCCCCCCCGCTGACCGTGGCCCACAGCACGGTTCAACCCCTGGAACTTGGAAAGATGACGCGCAGGCAAGAGAAGTTATCATCAGTCGCAGAAGAATGCTGGTCTATATATTCATCATGACTTTTGCACGTAAGAAATGTATGTGCCTCTCATTTACAGGCCGAATAGAGCCCAACGCATGCCACTAGCCCGGTCTTGGAGCCAACTGGCTGGCAATAGAACTGGCAACTTACTACAAGTAAAATTATTCTCGAAGTCTATTTGTTATTCGAGCCTTTCGATGACAGTTCTCAAATAGTCATCAAGCTTCACTTTGTAGAATGCCCGCTCTTTGGGACAATAGGACGACTGCCGCTGTCATGTCTCTTGTCCTACTTACTTGCGCCGAGGTGACATCATTGTACAACCAAACCACTCTACTTGGTGAAGACTGCATCTTTCCTAAGCAGAAGTGAGAGACATATTCAAAGATCTTGTGAAGCTCTGGCTTGCAAATGATGAGCGATGGGGTGCAATTCGTGGCTTGGCTAGAGACGCGCACTCGACCAACGACTTTTGCAGAGCTTGACAACATTGAACAGCCAAGCTTAGACGAGATAGGCCATGGCACTCCTGCTGTTTTGTTACAAGTCGAAAATGCTCAACCCCCTTATTATTCGTGCAATGCTGGATTGCGGCGAGAGAAGCAGAAGACCTGGTATGCCATTTCGTGGTATGTGGGATGATGATGTATTATGTGGGTTCTATGGACTCTCGCGAGGTCCTATATACCCTACAATATGCCGCTATTACAGATAGTGGCGTCCTCGCTACTAATTATCCCTTAATATTCTAAAATATAACTTCCACGATGTGACCTTCTAAGATATAACCTCTAAGATATACCCCTCTTCTTACTACTATTATAAAAAAGCCTTCCTAGATCGAGGTAATACCTATACTTATTGGTAATAGTAATAGCTATTCTAGCTTAGTTTTTATTAATAGAAGGTATAATAATAATAATTCTTATACACTAATTAGGCTAAATAACCTATCTAGTACCTCTGCTAATTATAGGGTAAGGAAAAACTAGAGTACCTAGGGGAAAACCTTATTCTTGTTCCGGAGTATACGGGGGTCCGGTGAGACCCCTCTTGATGCCATGTGCCGGGTTTTTATCCACGTCCCGGCCCGTGTCTGGCCTGTGCCACTCCTAATAGAAGGTATAGAGGTAATAGTAATAGTGGTTTTAATAAATTAATAAATAGAAGAGTATTTCTTAGTAGTAGTATCTACTAAAGCTAACTACCTAGAGGGGAAAGGATATAGTAGTTTCTACTAAAGCCAATAACTAAGGAAAAATAAAAGAAATAAAATCTTAGTATAGCTAAAGCCTAATCTTAAAAAAGGTTTATAGGTGTTACTACTAATTATTATGCTATTTTATAGTATACAGGATAATAATGTATTATGTGGGTTCTGTGGGCTCTCGCGAGGTCCTATGTACCCTACAAGACCAGTCCATCACCCCGCCAAGAAAATGTGCCAGCGCATCTCGAAGCCGGAAACGCAGACATGGACGAAGATTCGGCGTCGTACAGGGCCAGAACTTTTAGCAGGCAGCTTGCAGGCACATTGTTTGATGAACTAGGTAGTCTCTAGTTGAACTAATTGTCAACCCACTACTCACTACTTGAACTCAATAGTCGGCTGTCAAACACGGAATCGACGCGAAGAAAGGGGAACCAGACAACACACATCATCGCTCGTCTCTCGTTGGTCAATCGAATCATCATCATCATCAAGGATCCGCACACTTCGCGATGGCGCCATCACCAGCAAGCTCCCGTCGCGTACTAGCAAGCAAGCGCAAAACCGCAGGCCTGCCTAGACCGACGCCGGCTCACGCGCTTAAGAACTAGAAACTAGCAAAGTCAAATGGCAGCATCTTGTTGGCAAATAAATTACACGGCACGCCCAGCTCACAAGGGTCGCCGCAGTCGCACCACCCAAGTCTCCTCCGTTCTGTTCCTGTTCACCCGCCCGAACATGTTGGGCAACCGTCTCCTGCTCTCAGCTACGGCTGCTCTTACCTGGCTCTCCCAGGTCCAGGCTGACCATCATCTCATTCTTGGCGCAGCAGTGCCCGACGGCAGCAGCGGTGTCCCTCTGCGCCTCAACGTCAATGACTTGCAAGCCGCTGCAGGACCCCAATGGGACCTGTACATCCAGGCTATCAGGGCCATGCAAGACATGAAGATCGAGGACAAACTCTCGTACTTTCAAACTGCTGGTAAGATCATGCCCTGCCTCTTTCTACCTTGTTGTGAGGAAACTCGTTCGGCTAACAAAGCGATCTCATGCAGGTATTCATGGCAAGCCGTTCATCCAGTGGGACGCGCCGGCCAACAGACGACGAAGCAACGAATGGCTTGGCTACTGCCCGCATGGCGTGAGTCCTTGATTCGTATCATGAACTGTCCCAACGTTGTATCTTGCTAACCACCCCTACAGGAGCCCATTTTCTTGTCGTGGCACCGCCCCTACGTCATGCTGTTCGAAGAGCAACTGGTTCGACACGCCACCGCAATCGCCCAACGGTACCCCGAAAGTGTGCGGCGCGAGTATGTCGCCGCTGCCAAGAGCCTGCGCGCACCATACTGGGACTGGGCGGCCGACAATGCCGTTCCTCCGGCCTCGGTCCCCGATACGCTGACCATCAACATCGCCAGTGATAACGGGGTGAAGAGCGCCAACGTGCCTAACCCGCTGCAGACATACTATATGCCAAGGGATGCGTTGAATGGCCGGTACGGTCCCTTTGACCGGGAACGTCGCCCGCAGACTCTCCGCTGCCCTGGCCAGTATCCAGGCCGAGCCAACTACAACATACGCCGACGCAACCTCAAGGCCAACCTGGTACGTTGTCGCGAAAGTTGGTGAGGTAACGCGTCGATTTTCCAGGCTAACAGGGTGACTTCAGTACGCTGCTTTTATCTATGCGAAAAACTTCAACGATTTCGCCGCGACGGCCAACAATGGTGTTGGTCTGGAGCAGATTCACAACTGGATTCATTATGACGCCTCTTGCGGACAACAGTTCTGGCAGTCTGACCTCTCGGCCTTTGATCCTCTCTTGTAAGTGCAGCCCGCGAAGCATGATTACCACTCCGTTGCTGACTCGGCCGGTGCAGCATGCTTCACCATGCAAACGTCGACCGTCTATGGGCGTATTGGCAGTACATCAGACCGGACCACGCCAGCTTTACCGGTCGTTACTACGGAGCATCTCGCTATGCCTCTCGGCAAGGGGCCACCATCACCCCTGAGAGCCAGCTGCAGCCCTTCTTCAGAACGCAGGGCCAGATGCACACCAGCAACACCGTGGCCAGCATCAACGGCATGGGCTATTCGTACGAGGGCCTGCATTACTGGAACATGTCCAGCACGGACCTCAGGAGGGCGGCAACGGCTCTGATCAACAAAAAGTACGGCAGCAACAGCTCGTTGACGACAAACGACGACAAAAAGAAGCCGTCGGAGACTGTCCTCGAGTCACGGTACTTTGTGCGATTTGAGATTGATCGCGCCCATGTCGAGCGACCCTGCACTGTCTCCGTCTTCTTCGGCGGTGTAAAGGCCGGCGATGTGGCCGTCATGGCCCAACCCGCCACCGGCATCATGAAGGGCGGATTCCTGATTGACGACTTTGTGCACAAGGCCGCTGTCAGGGTATCAAAGCTCGCATGGACATGCGGCGGCAACGTGACTGTTGCCTGTCTTAAAAAATGGATCGGAATGCGCATAGAAATTACCAGGGTAAGTACATTTTTACTATTATTTTGCAAAACAATGTCGCTGATTTAGCTTGTGTAGCCTAACGGGACTCGCATCCCCTGCGCATCCATCCCTAGCCTCAAGTGCTGCATTGAGCAGGTTCGGTTCATCCCTCCCAAGTCAATTGAGGAGTTTCCTACCGTAGGTGAGCCAATTGTTCAGCAGCTTCCTGTTAAGGAGCATTCGTCTCCTGTTCCTACGGATTCGTCTTCTGTTCCTACAAATTCGTCTCCTGTTCCTACGGATTCGTCTTCTGTTCCTGCGGGTTCGTCTTCTGTTCCTACGGATTCGTCTTCTGTTCCTGCGGGTTCGTCTTCTGTTCCTGCGGGTTCGTCTCCTATTCCTACATATTCGTCTCCTATTCCTACGGATTATTAGGTTTCTCTAGGGGAGTATTGGACGATGGCTTCGATGGTCTTGACATGGTGGGCTGGAAACTGTTCTACTGTATTGCCACTTGCACTCTTGTCATGTAATGCAGATAGTCTTCGGTTGTAATCTGTAATAATAGCGGCATGATAATGCTTAGCGGATGTGACCCATTCGCATTCCTCTGCTTTTTGTAGATAGTTTTCTATGGGGAGGGAGAGGAACTTGACAATTGACCAGTTACCTGCACATAGCCGCCTAGCTTCTTTACGCTTCTGTAATTTGTACGTAGCAGTTGATTATAAATGGCTAGGAATGGTTGGGTTCCAACACTTCCCAGGCCGCAGTTGGCTGGAGATGTCAAAAAGATGAGGGAAGTAACTATTGTAGGGTAGGTACTTTGCCAGTTGCTCGGTTTCATGACCGGCTTGCGCGGCCCTAGGGGGGGGGTGGCTGGTGGAGCCAAAAAAAATATGCCCCCCTCTTGCCCACTTTGTGCCCAGTCAGACGAGGCGCAAAAGCTTGTCTCCCGGCTTAATTGAGCGCAAACCGAGAAGCCAATCGGCCAACGTAACCAGGGCGAGAACACAAGGTTGTCACAAGGGCAACGGGTTGAAGGCAACCTGGCGCGCGACTGCAGAGTAGGACGACACGGATGACTGCTGCTGAGCGCATAATAATAGCGTTAAAGGGCGAGGCATGTTTCGATGTCGGCAGTTGCGCCTAATCTTTTTTTTATAGTCGGCCATCTGCCCTCTGGCGGGCAACCTTGGGTGGGGAGCCAGGAGTTCCCTGGTATTATTATCGAGTACATAGCAGGAACAGGGGGAACAGGGCAGCGGGCGGGTGGGCAAAAAATTGTTTGATCCCATGTGCACATCTGGTAAGGAGCGCTGTAGATCAATAAATCCCCACTGCCAGTCGTCGGTGGAATTTGCTCTTGGCAGCCAGTGCATTGATTGCTTGCACATTGTCGCACTACCCTTGTTCCGAATTTCTTGGACCTACTAACTAATAATACTATTAAAAAGGAGAGGTAACGCCTGGAGACGGTTGGCCATGAACGAGCGCCACCCATCAAAGTTACACTTTTAGCGCTGCGCCACGGCCTGGCAGGGCTGTGCCGGCGCAGGGCAGAGCCACTTTTGTCCATGGTCCAGACGACCAAACTCGTTGACGAAAAAACCAGTTAGTTAGTGAGCTTGTTAGCAACTCTCAGCCAAAGTACATAAGAACTACAGAAAGGGGAGGGGGCGGAATCGACTCAGAATGTCTCCGTGGGAGGTTGCACCTACCATTTGTAAGCAGCGTCAGGCTGGCAGTCGGTAGAGCGAGGTGCAGCGATCTTCAGACTCTGAGACGCATGGCCATGACACGGCGAGCGGCGAGCGACAAAAACGAGCGCAAGCGTGTTTTGCGACCGTAGCAGTGGGCTCGAGGAATTGGCTAGGAGCGCCTAGTAGCTCTGCTGTGATGCTGAGTTTTTTGTAGATCTAGTCGGGAGCGGCGCTGATGGGCGGGCTGGCAGCGAGGCCGCCGTCTTCCATTGTCCTATGTACCTATGTAGTCATGAGCTGACGTTGATCTACTCCGTATTAGCTTCATGCAGAGGACGCTGGCTGACTGCCTGTCTGGGCCCGCGCGCCTGGCACGGGTAACCAATAATAATAGCCTGTTTCGGATGTGGTTACTTGTCTCTGCAAGGTCGACCGTTGACACTGGAGAGCCAGATGGAACGCTGTTTTATCGTTTTATCAGGGCATTGGCGTCGATGGAACTGTCGCTATCTAGACGACACGAGGCGGGTATCCATTCGTACTCCGTACAGACGTCGGTCTTCAAACACCCGTCACAGATGGCCCGGCGTTGTGATGAATATCGGAATGTTTGCAGCATCAAGGGATGGATGGGCGCATTCGTGCCTGGGGATGGCGCGGCGAAACGACCAGCCCACCAGTAGTTACGGAATATCTTTCTCCTTGATTATTATTAGTGGAGCAAAGAATGGAGCGCCATCAGAGGGCACGCGAGCAACACGAGAGGCCACGCGACCTTTTGCAAGTTATTGCCGCGGGAGGAATTTGCGTATTATCAAGGTTGAAAAGGTCAATAAGTTTGCCCTGTATCATTTGGTAGTTTTGCTTGACGCTTGTAACGGCGTGATCCGATATGGAAAAGTCAAGATCGGGGCATGACAGTGCTTTGAAACGCTGTTCGCCGCAGCTGTGGCGCGGCGAGGCGCTGGTCCTACAAGTGTTGTTCACCCCACTGTACATCAATCAGTACGGAGTACGGATACCTCGTACAGCCTAGTGCCCAGTACCCCCACCCCACTAGGTACCTTGCAAGGCACAGTACCGACGGATTACAGTGTACAGTGAGTACCTACACTGCCCCTGCCCCGTACTCGTCATGGCTGGCAAAAGTCCCAGTTCGCGGCCGTTGATCATCGACTACCAGGTAGTTGGCAGAGCTAATGAGGCCAAACGTTTAATTTGCCTTTATTACTACACATTTCAAAGGGACTAGTCGTCGCGGTTTGATCAATTGGTAAGACTGGACAGGCCTCGACCAGGCTGTCATATTCCGAAGCCGTCAACAAGTTTGGTTCAATTGGAAATAACAAAAAACCGGCCGGGTCTAGAGATCGCCTGTCTAGTAGCTGCATTTCAGCTGGGTATTATTATACTCTTGTTGCAGTTCGTCTGGGGTTTGTTAGGCTTGCAGGTGGTTGATCCGTCGCCAACATCCACTTTCCCTCCCCAACGACAGTTCTCCTTATATTTTGCACTCTACATCGTATCTTCTCCACGCGCCTCTCCCTTTTGCGTTTCCTCTTTTGTCCTTCTCTTGCTTGCCGTTGCTCTGCTTTTTCTCTCTCTGCATCGCCGTCTTTGTCTCCATTATTTCTTTGTTCTTCCTCATCCGCTCTCTGCTCCTCCCTTGAATCGCCCAATATTCTCCAGCTTCACGGCGCTCCCTCTCGCCAATGTGTTTGATTATGCAACGTTAACTTTGCTGCTTGCGCCTCCAAGACCGATCTTGCTCTCGTTCCCGGCAAGCGACACCTTACGATCCAAACCCCGTACATCGACATCTCTCCACGACGCCCACGCGCAAACAACCCGCCCAGCCCGCCACAAGCCTCTCTCGAATTGTCGAAATGGCCTTTCAGTCTCTTATAAGCCTGTGCCCGAGGCGGATATCGATTCCTCGACCATCCAAGATCTTCACCCGCAAGCTCATGATCCCATTCGCCTCCGTCTCCGTCATTAGCGCGAAACTCCTTCACATATATGCTCATCGCCACGCTCTGTCTACCCAGGACTTGATCCGCTGGGGCACCTCGTTCTTTTTCCAAGATGTCGCTTTTATTCTCTTGGTTCGCATGCTGCTCGAGAGTCGCATGCCCGTCTTGTCTATTCTCGGCGCCGCCATCACCATGGCTGTCCTCGTTCTCAGCTGCGGCACCCTTGCCTGTTATATGACAATATACACCGAGCCCGACTGGAACAATGCCGGAATCGTCCTTGACCCAGCCTGGTGGGCGGTATTACCCACAGGCTTGGCTTCCCTTGCCTTTGTTTCGGCTACCATGACCGTCGTCGCCGCTGCCACGCAGCAGTTCTGGATCGTCATCGCTGATATGACATCCGACGCTTTGTTATGGCCATTCCGCCGCTGTATGGGCAAGAATAAATACCAGAGCCTCAACCAGGTGCCTCCGATCAAGTATGAAGACGACACTCTTAACCCCTCCGAGGATCAAAGTCTCCGTCGGTACAGAGATGACGACGCCGCCGAGCAAGGACTGCATTTCGAAACCCAGTTACCTGCGCCGTCCAAGTCAGCTCTTGGCGGCTACATTGTTTGCGGCGCCGTTGCACTCACTACCATGCTCACGACCATTTTGCGCCCTCACGATCCCGCCTATATTCTCATGTCGTGGACCCTTCCTCTCCAGCCGATTGTGGATCTCTCTGGCGACGGCGGCCCTGCAGCCATCACCAGCCACAACAGTAGCCCGAACAGCATCGTCCATGTCCTTGACGGAAAGACGGCCCTCGCAGACCCGATTCCTCTGTCCTGGCTGCCCGAAGGACGCCCACTGCAAGGCTTCGAAGACTGGTATCACAACGGGGCCGAGCATTACAGTGCTGAAGCCGACCCCCTCAAAGTTTCCAACATGCGCGACGAGCTCGTCCCTGATTTGCGCGGAAAGCTCGCCGGTGTTGACATACGACATGTCATTGTTGTCAAGATGGAGTCGATTCGAAAGGATGTCTTTCCTGTTAAGCAAGGGGGGAAGATCTGGACAAAGCTGGCCGAGGCCACTTCCAACAAAACGCTTTCTGATGAAGTCCGCGACAGGCTCGCTACCCTTACACCGTTGGCTAATACGCTCACCTGCGATTTCGACGATGGCTTCGACCATGCCAACAGCACTTGCCGAGGCGGTATCAGCGCGAATAATGCCTTTACCGCCAGTACATATACTCTCAAGAGCGTCATCGCAACCCTCTGCGGTATTGGTCCAGTCGCGGCTGACTTCAATGTAGAAGCCAAATCTCACTTTTATCAACCCTGCCTCACGCATGTCCTCCATGCCTTCAACTCCATCAACCACACCGAGACGAGCAAGTCTAGCAAGGAATTTCAGCCGTACCCGTGGAAATCTTACTACTTTCAAGCTGCAACCGACTCGTTTGACAATCAAGGCGCGCTCTTTCCCATCCTCGGGTACAAGTCGGAGAATGTCATTACGAAAGAATATCTGCAAAGCGAATCGGCGAGATTTGGCAAGTCAACCTTGAGCGACGTCAACTATTTTAGTATTCCAGAAGTAGCTCTGGAGGACTACATTCGGGATGCTTTCCAGAGTGCCAAGGAAAGCAAGGAGAGAGTGTTTTTGACTCATCTAACCAGCACCACTCACCATGCTTTTGGAATCCCTGCCGAAGAGCACTACGTTCACATGAGCGAGGATAAGGACCTCGAGGACCTTTCCAACTACATTAACGCGGTAGGCTACAGCGATCGCTGGCTTACCAAGCTTTTGAACATTTTGGAGGAGGAAGGGGTGGCCAACGAAACGCTGGTCGTCTTTGCAGGAGACCACGGCATGCCAGTTGCTGAGGACGGTGTGGCGACTTACCACAACGACGAGACTGCTAGCTTCCACGTCCCGATTGTGTTTTCTCACCCCAATCTACCCAAGGTAAGCATCGGCGACGTTGTCTCTACGATGCAGATCCTTCCTACTGTGTTGGATCTCTTGATTGAGTCGGACTCGTTATCGGGAGAGTCGAAGCGTGCGGCGACGGACCTGGTTCAAAACTACGAGGGTCAGTCCTTGTTGCGTCCTGTGCACCCTGCTGCGGAAAACGGCCACGGCGACTGGCAGTTTAGTGTCACCAATCCCGGGGGAGCCACGCTAGCAGCGCGTGACGGCAGAAACGCCAACTGGCGATTGACGTTTCCCATAACGTCTGGCCAAGACTGGCACTTTGTGGATGCCAGCTCAAACTCGACTGGCATTTTCTCTCTTTCGTTTGATACTCTGCGCAGTCGTGCCGAAACGCAACTGGGCAGGGAAGTTGCGGACTGGCTAGAAGAGGCAGCGATTGTCAGCCGTTGGTGGCTGGACGAAAACCAAAAGAGGTGGCGGTATGGGAAATACACGCCAAACGACAATAAAAAGGATTGATGGGAATGCAAGAGCATAGAAGAAACAGCATAGTCATAAAGCCTCGCCGCGGCATTCTCTAGCCGCTTGCTATTCGCCGCAGGACGGCCTGTAACTTGGATGGCAAGCCGCCATCTTGTAGAATATATGGACGAATAGATGTCCTTTTTTGTTATTCACCTCATTTGGTTGATGGTGAAATATATATATCCCTCATTCCGAGACGAAAACAGCTTTTGCGCGGGTTTGAAGATGGGTGATGGACCAAGGTGTGTGCTTGGCCTTGCAAATTGACCATGGAAGCGCTGTAGACGCTGAATACGATTGCTTGGCAGGGGCTACAACGTCCAAAAAAAAACACTGTGCACACTCAGACCACAATGACATTTTACTGCTGCAATAAGAGGAATGGCACTCCGTAAAAGGCACTCCATCACTAGTTAGACGTTAAGAAAGGCCACGAGTCGACGTTTCAGGGCTACAGCGGTCGCGATAGACAGGGTGCATCGCACACCGCTTCACAGTGGCATTGATGGCTTGGTCGCGTCAAATTAGTCGAGCAGGTTGACTGGCAATCTCGGCTACCCGAGACACATTTCCGAGGTCTTGATCTAAATCTGGCCAATGCGCGCGCATGCTTGGCCGCTATGGAGGAGTACTCCGTACCTAGGCAGGTACGGTAGGTACCTTAGGGTTATAGGTGGGCAAAGAACGTTGGACAACTGGGACCGAATCGCGGCAAAGGAGATCTGATTATAGATGCTGATAACGGGGGGATAACGGGGCGAGACTTGCAAAAAGTCAATGCTCGGAATTTTTACATAGCTTCCCCATCCCATGGACCGCACTTGTAACTATGGGGGACTATGGGGCTTCTATTTCCCTCACCTCGGGCTCACCAGCAAAGGCGTTGTTACGCCAGGTACCGAGCCAATAACGTCAGCCAACGGCACAGCCGAGTTGGTTTCTGTTGGCACGCGTTCCCTCCAAAGATGGATGGCATCAGATAGCGAGGCGCCAGTTACAAAATTACATATGCAAAACATGACGAGTTCCATCCCTCGAGACTCCTTGCTTCAGCATGACCAGGGTACTTTTTTTTTTTTTTGTTGAGCGCCAAAAGCACGTGCAGTTCAACCAAGGGAGAAAGCGGGCGGGCTCTTGCACATGCGACTGAGAAAATCCCACAAATTTCAGGGGACTTTGTAATAAGGTGTGCTCTTCTTGGTCGAACCAAGAGCCGCGCCCCAGTAAAGACACCTCTTGGACCCTGAATTGGCCAGTTAGATCCCCTGTTCAACCGATTCGCTATCTTTCGCAGGAGCAAGGCTAGTCATAGCGCGCCCAGGCAAAATTTCTGATGACAGGAAAAGAACAGGTATGAAAAAGGGGACTGGGGAGAAAGGAGAGAGATGAAACTTTAAACAAAAATCGGCTTCCCGAGGTTTCTCTTCCACACAATATCTCTCTTGTCAGCGTCAGCGTCAGTGTTATCCAGTTGTTGCGCTTTCAGAGCCTCGACGGAAGAATCCAGCACCTGCCTCCTTCCTGTTCAACGCCCGGTTCTCTGTGACAATCTGAGCAAAAATGTCGCAAAGAATATCCAAGGCCACCAAGGCGTGCGTTCCCAGCCCCCCCCCCTTTGCCTCGTCAACATGCGAGAAAGAAGCCCGTTGGCTGACTGACAACCCCTCGCCAGCTCGCCCGCAGGACCGCCCGTGTATCCTGACATCAACACCCTGCGCCAGGCTATTCCCGCCCACTGCTTCGAGCCGCCCGTGCTGCGATCCATGAGCTACCTCGTGCGTGATGTGGTCCTCATCGGCGCCCTCGCCTGGGCCGCCCTGCGCTACATCCCCGCCATTGACGACGCCGCCCTCCGCGCCGCCGCCTGGATCCTGTACGGCTTCGTCCAGGGCCTCGTCTGCACCGGCCTCTGGATCCTCGGCCACGAGGCTGGCCATGGCGCCTTTTCCAAGCACCCGCTGCTTAACGACGTCGTCGGCTTCCTGACCCATTCCAGCCTCATGGTGCCGTACTACTCGTGGAAGTTCTCCCACCACCGCCACCATAAGTTCACCGGACACATGGAAAAGGACATGGCTTTTGTCCCCCGCACCCAGGCCGACTATGAGCACCGCCACAGCCTCTTCAACATGGAGTACCTCGAGGACACCCCCGTCTTCCAGGCCATCTCCCTCATCTTCCACCAGCTCTTCGGCTGGCTCATGTACCTCGTCTTCAACGTCTCCGCTGGCAAGGACAGCCAGCAGAAGCCCACGTCCAGCTTCCTGGGCCGCAGCCATTTCGACCCCAACAGCGCCGTCTTTCGCCGCAGCGAGGCGCCCTTTATCGCCCTGTCTGACGTTGGCCTGGGTCTGATGTCCCTTGCCCTGTACAAGCTCTCCGGCGTTGTTGGCACACAAACCGTAGTACTTTTGTACCTGCAACCCTATGTCTGGGTTCACCACTGGCTAAGTACGTTGCGAGCGCTGCATTCTTGTTGCCATACTAACAGACACCTAGTTGCCATTACCTATCTACACCACACGCACGTGGATGTCCCTCACTTCGAGGCCGAACACTGGACGTTTGTCAAGGGCGCGCTGGCCACCATCGATCGCGACTTTGGCTTCATTGGCCGTCACCTGTTCCACGGCATCATTGAGCACCACGTCGTCCACCATCTGTTCCCGTATGTACACTTGATCCGGACGCACCGTCGCAACCGCGAGGACCAGCTCTAACTTGATTTGTGCAGTCGCATTCCGTTTTACTACGCCGAGGAGGCCACCGATGCCCTGAAGCCTGTTCTTGGAGACTTGTATCATCGCGATGATCGTTCTTTCCTCGGACAGCTGTGGTCCAACTTTACTCAGAACAAATTTGTCGCCGCGGATGAGGCGGTGCCGGGCGCTCTGAAATGGGTGCAAAGGACCAAATAAAACGGGTCTACACTGCGAACACTAGAAGCGCACATCATACTGGCAAGGTATTATTCCTAGATCATACACTGATAGAACTAGATCATGTCCGGATAGAAATTATAGAGCTCAAGTACATATAGATTATAACAGCTTATTAGAAGCCCGCTAGTTTCTCTTTGCAACTAGCATATACATCTTCAGGTTCTCCGGTGCCCAGTCAGGCCTCTCTGTCACAACTGAAAACCCTTTCGCCTCTAGCAGCGCCTTGGCCTCTGCGAGCTCGCCCTTGCTGTCGCAGAGCTCGACTGCAATGTTCTGAATCATGTCCCAGTGCCTGTCGTCCAGGCCCAGCAACACGTCCAGCTCGGCGCCTTCCACATCCACCTTGACAAGGTCAATCCGTTTGAGGGCCGGGACCTGGTTGAGGAAATCAGAAAGTCGCTTGACATCCACCTGCACCTTTTGCGTTTCCTGCATGAGTTTGGCAATGGGGTGATGTTCGTCGACAGACTTCATCTGATTCGCCTTGTCCTCCGAGTACAGGGTCGAATTGCCCGGCATCTGCGGGTAAAACGTCAAGGCCATGGTCGCATTCTCCCGACCGAGTCCGCACTGATGCGCTTGCACGCCCGAGACGCCGTGCAGCGCCATGTTGCGCTCAAAGGCGGAAAAAGTCGCCGGCGCAGGCTCAAAGGCGAGAATGGTCGAGGACGGATACTTCTTCTTCATGAAGAGGCTGAACATGCCAATGTTGCCGCCGGCGTCGACCATGAAGGCATCGTCGGGCAGCGACGCAATCTCGTAGCACTTGTCGGTGAAGATTTCCTTGTAGATGAATTCGACCTCGAGCTTGGCCGCAGGGTTTGCATAGACGGCAAAGTCATCTGCTAGCTGTATTTTTTCCAAAGCCATGTTGATTTGAAGAGGTCGAGCGTAGTACAAGATTGTAATTTGAAGAGGCCGCAGTATACTGGTTATCTACTACAACACTGTACAGACCAAATAAGACTGGGACAAGATCCTTAAATCACAACTCGCAAGGATCGTCGCGCCACCAATGAATATGCTCGCGCCGAGCAAAACGCCCCGGACGGCCGGGCGGCACGGCCCAGATGGATGTCCGAAGACCGAATCGGCATTTGAGCGCCAAGATCTGCAACCACCACGCTAGCGGCACTTGCACTTGAGACATGGCAGTTTCTTTTAATGACGCGTCCCGTCTCACTGCATATGTGCTCCCTGAGAGATTGTCCTTGGTTGTTGATGAAGCTGCTGACTCATCGGAGATTCGGTGCTCGCGACAAACAAGCAAACAGCAACGGAACGCCATCATCTGATCAAGTGGCGTTATCATCGCCTCATGGCGGAGGTTCCTCGGACAGCGGGAGCCCCGATGTCCCGATCAACACGGCTAGGATGGGGGGGCGATGAGAGGGTTGAGCACCAGCTAGAACGATGAGGATCTAGATTCAACACGGCAGAGGCGGTGGCACGATGCTAGCATAACGGGAGCCCTCGGCTCCGACTACTGCCCCCGGGCGCTGCTCGTTCCGTCGATGCCCGCGGTGGACGTCCCGATTATCCTAGCATTACGCTATTCCTGTTCGTTTAGCGTTGACTGGCTGAGTAGTGTCTCGTTTGAAACGCATATAAGCGATGGCGGTCTTCGGAGACTGCTCCCCCTCGTTTTATGGTCTTCCTAGTCCACAACTGCGCGCATCGTCTTTCCGTTCACACTGCCCTCATTGACTTGCCAGTTCACACTACTCTTCTACTCATTCCACCATGGTTCCGTCGCGCACCGACCCGACTACTAGCGATGTTGTCGACAAGTCGAAACTAAAAATCGTCGCCCTCGCATCTCCCGCCGATGGCCACACCTTTCCCATCCTACGCATCGTCGAGGAGCTCGTGCTCCGCGGCTACGACGTGACGTTCCTCGCCGGCGCCGACTTCGAGGAGCGCACCGCCGCCGTCGGCGCCCACCACGTCCCCGTGCCGCCCTACGACAACATCAACCGAATCATGGCCGAGGTGGCGGCCATCCAGGATCCCGGCGCCCGTCTCAGCACGGCCATGGCACGGCTCTTCATCGAGCCCACCGCCGGCCGCATGGCGGTGCTGTACGCCGCGCTCGCGCAGGTCAAGCGGGACAAGCCCGGCCACACGGTCCTGCTCCTGACCGAGTCCTTTTTTCTCGGCGACCATCCGCTGCTCCTCGGCGCGCCGCCGCCCGAGGGCTTCGTCCGCCGCCCGCGCGCCGTCAACATCCATGCCTGCAGCTACGGGCTGACCAGCGTCGACTGCGCGCCGTTTGGCATGACCGTGGTGCCCGACGGCACCGCGGAGAGCCGTGCCGTGTACAGGCAACTGTCCGCCGACTTGCTCGCCGGGCCGCTTGCGGCATCCGTGGCTCTCCAAAAGAAAACCTTGGCGGAGCTCGGCGCCACGAATCTGGAGCATGTCGGGGACCGCCATCCGCTCGATGTCATCACCACGGCGGCCGATGTGACGCTGCAAATGTGCCCGCCAAGCGTCGAGTACCACCGCTCCGATGTCCACCCCAAGGTTCGTTTTGTTGGTGCCCTGCCGCCCCGTGTTAGGAAGCAGGGCTTTGTGGCGCCGCCCTTTTGGGACACCATCGTCGACGGCAAGAACAAGATTGTGGTCGTGTCGCAGGGTACTGTCGCGCAGCGGTACGACCAGCTTCTTATCCCTGCGATGCATGCCCTCGCAGACCGAGACGATGTTGTTGTCGTGGCGATTCTGGGATGCAGAGGCGCGAAGCTGGCTCCCGAAATCACGATACCGTCAAACGCCCACGTCGTCGACTACCTATCGTACGATGCAGTGCTGCCCCATGCCTCTGCATTCGTGATGAACGCTGGGTATGGCGGCTTCATGCATGGGATTGTCAATGGCGTGCCGATGGTGCTGGCGGGTGGCACCGAGGACAAGCCGGAAGTGGCGAATCGCGGCGAGTTTGCTGGTGTAGGAATCAACTTGAGGACAGGCACGCCATCGCAGACGCAGATCCGGGAAGCGGTCGATGAGATTCTGTCCAACTCCAAGTATAGGAACCGTGTCAAGGAGATTCAACTGGAGAATGAAAACATGAGTGCAATGGATGCGGTCGAGGAAGAGATTCTCAAATGGGCTGCCATTGACTAATAAACGCACTATATACCTATTTTGATGCCAGCACTGAAGTCTGAAGTTTTCTTGCCGTCTCATCTCACCAACTTGCACGCGCTTACAACACTTTACAGACCAAATCAGACTGGGACACGAACGTTAAATCACAACTCGCAAGGATCGTCGCGCCTGGCCGGTAAGTAGATGTACCGACCAGTGCGCTATGCTTAAGAATGATGCGTGCCTCTCTATTGGTATACTCGTTGAGAACCTTTCGAATATGAATTTAGTAGTCCGCCAGCCTTGGTTGAAGATGGCATGGAATGGCGCCATTGGTTTGGCGAAAAGAATGGAAACGAAAAAGACGTTGAGAATGGAGGGCAGTTTAATTCAAGGTAAGATTAAGGATCAGTACAGCTTGATTGACAAACAGCGCGCAACTTTGCTGTGTGCCAATGCATTCCAAAGAACAAAGTAATGCCCTGCACCATGCCCAAGTACCATCACGACGGGCTACTCGAGGACCCTGCCCAAACATATTCACGCTTGCCATGACAATATTCAGAGGTGAACTATAGGCAAATGCGCAGATCTTCGTGCTTCCGAGGAAGCGTCATGCCAAAAACTCAAGGCCTCTGCGGGGTGCCCTTGACATTCGGCCACCTGCTCCAGTCAACAGGGCCATAGGCCGCAATGGCCCTGACGCCGGCCTCGTCCGTCTTGGCAGCGCACTGCGTCCTAGTCTTGAGGTGATTCGGGTCCTTGATCAACTCGGGCGGAATGAGGAGCTGCAAGAGCCTGAATCCCGAGATGATGCTCAGGCGTACAGTGTTGTCTGGCCTGAAGTTGGAGCCACCAATCTCCCTGAGATACGCGGCTCTATTCGCAGCTTTTTTTTGTTCACGAGTCGTTAGCAAACTTGGTAATACGGCGACAGAAACCGAGGGCATGCCCGCGACTGCCAACACAGAGACTGGATTCACTAACCCCCTGCATTCCACCACAGCGCCTTGCCATTGTGCCTCTCGGGGACCCATGCCTTGTTGGTCGGGTTCCAGGGCGTCGAGTCGGCGAGGATGACGCAGTACCAGTCGCTGGGGGTGGCAGGCCAATCGCCAAGGTTGGGGCTGATGTACACGCCCGGGCCGAGCTGGTCGGAGCTCTGCGACTGGGTCCAGACGAGTGTGTTGCCGGCGTCCTTGTAGATCTTGGCTTGAGCCTATCACGAATGGATTAGTTATTGTGAGTAGTTTCTTTGGGGGGAAATCTGCAATGTGGCTGCTTCGTCCGAGAGAGACGGCCATGGCTGGCATACCGCGCTGACGGTTCGATAACCGACGACAACACTTGGTCCGCGTTCCTCGAGGGGCAGCGCGGCGCCGAGGCTGGCGAGGGCAAGAGTGAGGGAAAGCTTCATATTGGGGAGATGATGCAATGATTGAGTGTGATGTGTAAAAAGCCTACAGTCATTGAAGCGAAGCCGACTCTTGTATATATAGTAGATCGCGACTGGATGTACTTGGTAGCCGGCATGCCCCTCTCCGCAGCGCCATGCAACCCGTCTCCAATACTGAATACTTTCAGCTGCCGATTTGCTACCGTACTCCGAATGCCCTTCAATTCTCTGCAAGCCATGTCGTATTAAGTGGATTAATCTGGTCTCACATCAAAGGCCCGCTGACAGACGACTGCATGGTCATGGCTGCGGTCATAAGTTGGGCCGATGGATAGTCGATTGAGGCTCTCTTGAATCCCATGTTTCGGAACGAGCGCGCTCCGCTTAGTTCTTTCTCGCATATCTAGGCTTTCCAACGTCAATTCAAGGCCAAGTACGAACTGACCACGCCCCCGGAGGATAGAGTACCGTATCCAATGCTGACACAATGACTCGCAAACGACCTGTGGCCTGAGATTGTGACGATGCTATGAACCTGGGTATCAGATGCAGTCAATGGTCCTCTACTCAGCATTTATGCGCCAATCACGTCATGGTTTGAGCAGCGGATAAGTCTTTATTACTTCTGGTGTCGGGTATGATACATGTAACTATTGAATGCGCACATCGGCTCCGCCAATGGAGTCTGTGACGAATCCACACAGTATGAAGACTGTGCCAGGAATTACAGCAACTTTCACGATATAATCAAAAGTGTTTTGTTTTGTTTCCTATCTGCAACAGCTCTCGACTGCTACAATGCACCTGAATGGGATGCGCAGCCGGGATTGTCTCATCTCAGCTCCCTCCCTGTTGGAACTGCATCCTGTTGAACAGTGTACTTGACGGTCAAATTCATGTGCTACGCGACACTTCCAGCAACTGTTGCGCAAACAAGCCTTCTTCTCCCCCTCACCGATCCGCACAATTTTCCTTGACAGAAACCCGCTTTGCACACACAATGAGTCAGACTACAGTGGACGTTTTATCCTCAGTGCCAGCCTGGTACTTTGACACCGAAGGCCGATACATTGCCTTTCGCCAAGACGGAACAGGCGAGGTTTGTTTTCGCGCGAGCTCCGACCGTGATACCATGGGACTGATTTCTCGCAGCTGTGGTGTGCGTGCAACTTCAACTACTGGATCGCCGCCGAGCTCGAATGGACCGTGGCCGAGACGGCCGAGACGGCCGAGACGGCTGATATGCAGATCGGCGAGTCCCCGGCCGTCGACATTGAGACAGGAAATTCCCTGCGTATCCAGATGAAGCTGACAACGCGCTTGCCGCCAAGTGCGCAGTCGTCCATTTTGACACAGAGCACCCTGCTGAATGAGCATAGCCTCGGGGAGGAGGCGTTTAAGACAAAGTCATACACGGTGCATGTGGAAAAAGGCCGCTTCACGGAGCCGAGCCGTGCAATGTATGCACGAGACAGTCGTCTCCCACAGTTCGATCTGCGCCTTGTGTTTGATCCGTCCCCATACCCGCCCAAGTGTGAATGGAAGGCGCCGGAGAGCGGGGGTGTCGTGGACGGCCAGTTCTGGCATCATACGCAGTTTGTGGCTAGCTCAACTTGATTCCTTGCATGAGAGGCTGGTAACAAATATTCAATACTTGTCTGCGATTAAGCATGTTTCCGTTGCCAAGTGCATTTTTCTGGGCTCGAACCAAGAGTCCCATCAGCAAAGTAGCTTTGACCATGTACGACCTCGCAGACGCCCAAAAACCGAGACATACACGTTGCATTTCGTCGAAATGGAAACGGGCAATGATGCTCGCTTGTCACGCTGGGCCTTGCATCGGCAGCGCCTCAAGAAGTGCATGTTCAGCTCACATCGGGAATGCGCGTTGTTGCCGAGTTGCAGATGGCAGCTGCCGACAGCAGACTACGACGACGATGTAGTTCGTACTAGGTGCATAGTTGCCCTTTGATACATCCACACGGGTGGCAAAGTTGCCTGTCTCGACAAAAAACGTCTCGAATACAAGTACGAGGTGCATAGCCTGTATGCTGGATACGCGCAGTCCTTCAGCCAGCCTCTGCAGATGCAGTGTTTGCTTGGCTACCGAGCGGGGTGGGCGACGGTCGCCTTCGGGCCGCCTGTCGATGTTTAGGTACCGATTTAGGTGTTATCATGGCGACGATATACTCTGTACCGTTGCGTCCAAAGTCTCAGTGTAGGTCTGCCCCTCATCTTCAGTTCTGGTACGTCCACCCGGCTTCAAGCGGGCCAGCTCGTTGGAAGAGCGAGACTGCTCTTCGACAACGGAACTGTACACAGTTTTGATATGATACGTGTGATACTTGACCTCGTGGTGCTTAATGGAACAGGCACCATAAAAAATGCTACATTTTCTTAATACCATAATACTCTTCAGTGGCTATCTGGGTTTGGACATGTAGTACCATGACTAATTGTATCAAGGAGCGGCGGAACCTTGAGCGCGAACTCCAAGACAAAATCTCCAAACAAAGCCACCGCCTGACGATCACCTGGTGCGCAAAAACATCTCAATCTTCCCGTTCCATGAACGGCTCCCGTCTTGTCAGGACTGTCACAATTCTCCCTCGATCCTTTCTCCGACAAGAAATGAAGCCACCCCAATCTTTTCGAGGGTCAATCTGCCCAACAATTCCGCATGGCCCTTGAACAGCTTCACGAGGGCATTTGCGAAGCCAAGCTTAGCAGTCGCGGTCAAAGTACTTCCAGTTCGCGGCATCAGGCCGACCGCGACAAATGCTAAGATCCTCTCTATAAAGGTAGCATCCGGCATTGTTCCCCAAGCCCACGACGTACGACTTGCATTCCGACCCCGACTTGCATGCTGCGGCACACTGCTCCGGAGTGCTGGCACCTGCATCATACCGAATCTGTTCTGCCTGACCAGTGCACGGGCTCCCACCGCGCCTCAAGTCACAGAGAGCCGTATGTGATTCCGGCGGATAGCAATCGCGATCAGAATATGTCCAGTGGCTCCAGCCCGGCGCTCCCGCACATGTCTTGACGTCCCCTCGCAAAAGCCAACACCCACCGTCGTATTGCGTCGCCGCCACGGATGATTTGCACTCCGGCTCGGACCTGCAAACCCTCGCACACTTCTCGGGAGTAAAGTAACCGGGTTGCCACCGAACCAAATTTGTATTGACGCAATTGGTATCACCCGCGTGCAAGCCACAAGTGGTGGCTTCACAGTCGTTCGAACTCGGGATACACCTGCCGTGGCAATCCTTCTGGCCCTCTGAGCAGCACAGTGCACCGGATTTTATGCACTTGCCGTTGCACACCTTATTGCCGCTCTCACATTGACCGTTGCATGGGCTGTCGTCGTTGATGCAGGTGTTGTCGCACACTCTCTTGCCCTGCCCACACTTGCCCTCGCAAGGAGCGTCATCGCTGATGCACTTCCCGTTGCATACTCTCTGACCGTCCGCACATTGGCCGCTGCAAGGCAAGTCTGCGTTGATGCATCTATCGTTGCACCGTCTCTTGCCCCAGGTGCATTGGCCGTTGCAAGGGAAATCAGTGCTGAGGCACTTGCCGTTGCACTTGCCCTGGCCCTCGTCGCACCGCCCAGCACAAGGCTCATCGTCACTGATGCACTGGTGCTTGCACAACTTCTGACCATTGCGGCAAGCACAGCTACCAGTGCTGCGGAGGCATCTTCCGTCATCGCATCTCTTGTAGTCTGCGTTGCCGGGATAGGTGAAGCGGGATGGCCCGCCAAGCGGATGACCCCTATCACCCTTCTTAAAGAAGTATGCCTCGTACTCTCCCGCCGGTGTACAGAGATCAAACTCGTTGTCTGCAGTCACCAGCCCGCTGGCGTCAGGAGCGATTGCCCAGCCTGTGTAGGTGTGGTCTCCTTCTCTGCCAGGGCCGGTTCCCTGGGGGAAGAAGCCAATCCAATTGTCGCTGTTGACAACCGAGGTCGTGTAGTAAAACTGAGGAGGAGATGACGGAGCTTCCCAGGACAAAAATGCAGCAGGACGGGTAGTCGAGAGGGAGAACAGAACAAATTGGGACCAGCCGAAGGTGGGTGGCAGGAATCCTGCTACCAGCAGAGCTATTCCTATAATTGATAGCATAGCTAGCTAGAGTAGAAGTCAGTCTTCTATTCTCTCTGACAGGGGTTGTGATTAATAAGGTTGTGATTGATAAATATGATGAAGCTTTGTGTCCGATGATGGCATCACAGCTTCTTCATCTCGGCGATGAAACCCCTATATATACTACATGTTGAGAGGGAAAGCCACGGTAGTGAGACTTGAATTAGTGTGTGACTATAGTTGCAATTGCTGGATACACCTGTGTGAGATACACATCTACCAGTTATCATGTCTTTGCATCTCATGTCTTTGCATCGCCTACCGCTCCACCAGCGCGCATGTCTTGGCTGTGCCATTTATGCGAGTGTTGGGCACTTTGCTGCTGTTCTGCTGGAGAATTGGGTTGCAAGATGTTAGGTAGCTAAGTCAACATCAGCCCCAGAGTTCGACTGAGGGTGCTATGATTCAAGAATCTGCAAAGTATCCTCGCCGTTTATGCGCAGAACGCCACAGCCAGCCAGCCACTGCCTACGAACCGAACAGCTTCAGCTAAGAAACTTCACAGGAACTTCAGTCATTGTCTCGGACAATGGAAGATGGTGTCGAGCCTGATGGCAGCGAGTGTTCGCCTCTGTGACGGTGGCCTTGAGAATGCTGGAGTCTGCTTTGTACGGGTGCTCGGCGACACACGGGCGGCACCCGAATACGCCGGGTGAGCGTTGTTACGATTAGTGACAGTGTTGAAGAAATCGAGTAACTAGTAACCTGCGTGCGTTTTAGGCTAATGATTAACGTGTCGTGGTCTGGGGATGTTGGCGACGGCGTAACGGACATTACGCACATCTTAGGCCTCGGGTATAATCGACACACCTTAAAATTAGGCGCTTATGAGCAGTGCGGCTGTGTGTGCCGGCTTCAAGGTGACACGTCACTACCATTCGCACCCAGTATTGTGTCCTCCGATGCCGGCTGGGTGTCACACAGGTAAACGGAGGCTCTACAGCACAATGAGGGTGGAAGTAGCTGATTTATGGCGGGCGTCGAGCCAAGAATAACCACCGAATTATTACCCAAAAAGAGGTGCTTTACTCTGCCCAATCAACATGCTGTTCTTTCTGGTGATTTGCCTTCGGAGTGCGACATGATGAGCGGCAGACCTTAATGACAAGACACACTGAGAAATGCTCCTCGACCCGGGCCAAAGATGGGAACGGGACGGGTAAATTTGTAGGCCCGCGAGCAACCTATTGCTTTGTCTAAATTGTGGAGATATGACATACAAGGCTGGCTAATCTTGTTGGTTCTATAAAGCCTGTTGAATAAAAACATGCCCATCAACTCTACGGAGTTGTCTGCATGCCCCCCAAGTATTCTTTACTATTTCCCGATTGAAGTCGGGCACCGCGTTGCCATATTGAGCGTTGAAACCAAAATGAAAATCTCGAAGGGAAATTTGACTAAGTTTTTCATATAAATTAAGTGAATGTGAGGAGCCAAATATATTTAGCTTGTGTAGAACTTTTTCAGTGGCTGTATGTATGTATACTGGATCGCTCGGAGCATTGGTGCGGACGCCAGGCCGTCCAGCCGCGCCAATTGGACCAGCTACATACATACCTAGCTAAAGGCTTGATTCTCAATAAAATAGTGCCATATCGTGCGTTTGAAAATATTGTGGTTATATAGTCCAATATAAAATTCATTTGGATTCTTTAGGCATGCAGAGATACAGCTTGCTTTCTGCCCACTGGTCTCCTTCCCTTGTCGCGGGCCTAGCGTAGTACCCTAAACCCAAGAAAAATCAATCTTGAACCCATCTTCTGACATCAATCAAGACCTTGACCAACTACAGCCAATCATGACGCGTGTGCCGTGGGTTTGCCGTAGCTGCTCAAGAGCTTTATTCAACCGCCCTCGATTCCCAAAGCCCAAATTGGCGCGTTTTGCATCTACTGGTGAGCTCTATCCATGGCGAGCTGAACCGCTCTACCTCTAACCGCTGCTCCCTAGAATCGACTCTTGCGCCCAGTCTCCTCGTGCGAGCGAAAAACCTCAAAGCCGAACACGACGACCTGCAAAAGACGCTCAACGACTCGTTTGATGCGGCCAAGGCAAAGCGCGCGGGCGAGCTGCGGCGCGTCGCCACTGCGCTGCACGACTGGGAAAAGGCCAACAGCGCCATTGCCGAGCTGCGCAGCATGACGCACGGCGGCGGCCCGGACCACGACGCCGACCTGGCCGCCATTGCGCGCGACGAGCTCGCCACCGAGGCCGCCAGGCTCGCGACGCTCGAGCGCAACCTGTCCGCGAGCCTGACCCCCCGACACCCCTTTGCCGACCTGCCGTGCCTGCTCGAGATCCGGCCGGGCCCCGGCGGCCTCGAGGGCCGCTACTTTGCCGACACCGTCTTCAAGATGTACCGCGGCCTGTGCGCGCGCAAGGGCTACCGCAGCAAGGTCGTCAAGTACGACTTGGCCGACGGCGCCGGCGACCAGTCCTCGGCCGAGGGCGAGCTGCCGCTGCAGGAAGCCATCCTCGAGATTGAAGACGCCGGCGCGTACGACGCCTTCCGGGCCGAGGCGGGCATGCACCGCGTGCAGCGCATCCCGAGCACCGAGAGCAAGGGGCGCGTGCACACCAGCGCCGTCGCCGTCTGGGTGCTGCCGTCGTTTGCCGAGGCGGCCGTCGACGAGATGGACTTTGAGAACCCCGAGAGCGACTTCTACATTGACCCGCACGAGCTCAAGATTGAGACGATGCGGGCCCGGGGCGCGGGCGGGCAGCACGTCAACAAGACCGAGTCGGCCATTCGCATGACCCATCTGCCGACGGGCACGACCGTGTCCATGCAGGACCACCGATCGCAGCACAGGAACAGAGACGAGGCGTGGAAGCTGATGCGCTCGCGGATCGCGGCCCAGCGCGCGGAGAAGCGCGACGAGGAGGCCGCCCGCCTGCGCAACAGCGTGCTCGCCACGACGCAGATTACGCGCGGCGACAAGATTCGCACCTACAACTATAATCAGGACCGCTGCACCGATCACCGCGCCGCGCTGGACGTGCACAACCTGCCCGCGGTGCTGCAAGGTGGCGATGTCCTCGACAAGGTCATGGATGCGGGCCGCGACTGGCTCGTCGGCAAGGAGATTGAGATGCTCGTGGCCGAGGAGGAGGCCAAGGCCAGGGCTGCCAGCAAGTAGAAGAGCTTCACACAGGAGCCATGTATAACTGTATAACTGTATAACTGTACCACAATGTATAAATACTTGAATTTACACCAGGAGGGCCATGACATGACAACAAAGCCCCGGTGAAATAATACATCTAATTTCCCAAACAGGTGAATCGTCCATATAATCGTCCATATAATAGTTGAATTGTACACATAGAGGGGTATGGCATGACAAGAAAGCCCCAGCGAAATAATATTTATAAATCTCCCAAACACATGAATCGTCCATACTACCTCTTGAATGCCTTGATCCCAAATTCCAACAGAAAACAACCTTGACTCGTCCTTTGCCCAAGAGTACAATGCCCAGTCACAAAAAAAAATGAGGATAATACGCCAAACCCAATTCAAACTCGCCTGCAATATCAATAGTCGTGTCCGGTCGTTGATGGTCGTTACATGAGCCCGCTCAAGACGACCTTGCCAATGTTGGCTACCTCGGACTTGATGTGTGCCTTGCTGTGCTCCTCGAAATCCTTGACAATATTCTGCACAATAAGCTTGCGGACTTTGGCGTCAGCCTTCGCAAACAGCTCGGCGACGGGCGCGGAGCACTCGCGCGGCGTGGGCATCAGCGTGAGGAACCGGCTGTACGAGTCGATGAGCACATCGCACAGCGTAGCAAATGTCTCGAAGAAGTCAGGGTCAAACGGCAGCGACGGTGTCAGCAGGTACGTGTACTCCTCACCGGGGAGCAAATCTGACTCTGCGGCGGCAAAGTTCATGACGGGGGGGCCGCTGCCGCCCGTGCCCGCCGCGGGGAGACCGCCGCCACCGCCCTGCCCATGGTCCTCGGTGAGCGACATGTCGGCTGTCGAGGTCGATCGACGCGACTTTCCGCCCGGCCGACGGAACATGTTAGGCAGCCGGGCGCGGGACAGGGATGAGGACGAGTCGCCGTGTAGCTGCTGGAACGAGTCAAACTCGGAAAAGAGGCTGTTGAGGCAGCGCAGAAACTCGACGGGGGTGGACGAGTACAGGTCGTTGATGGTGGGGATGGAGACGCCGAGGAGGAGAATGTTAGTAGCCTTGCGGGCGAGTTTGCGCGGGTCGTAGGCGGGCATGCGGCTGAGGTCCGACTTTTCGAACAGATATGTGTTGAACCAGTACACGCGGCCTTCATGACTACACGCTGTTAGTTTTCAGGTATTGTCATCTTGACTGGCGGACGCTTACGCCTTGCGGAGATAATTCAGCGTCGACATGCGCTTCTGCGCTGCCTCGATAATCTGCTGATGCATCATGGCCACCTCGCTCTGCCGCCACTGCGTCGGGCTCACGCCCATGGCCGTCGAGGGCGTCTGCGGCGGCAGCATAAAGGTGTGACTGGTCGCGGGGCGGCCCATGGCCGACACGATGCCGCCTTCGGGGCTGATGGGAGTGCGCACGGGGTCGCGGGGGGCAATCTTGGCCGCGGCGGCGAGGGCGTATTCGGGCAGGGCGGGCGGCGCCGAGTCGTCCGTCATGACGGCATCGGCGGCCATGCTGCCGCTACCCGCCGCCGTGGAGACGCTGCTGCGACGGCGCGCGCCCGACAGCGAGGCCTTGCGCGAAAACGACGCCTTGCGCTCCTTGGACAGGCTGCCGCTCAGCAGGCCCAGCGCGGCCGAGACGGCGGAGCCATCGCGCGTCGTGGGCCGCGAGGGCGACGACGAGGATTCGCCGAGATGGGTCGCTGTCGACGTCGAGCCGCTGGCGAATGGGTTCTGCATCGCGCGGGAGCGAGCGCGAGGGTAGAGTTTTCTTCTTTTGTTGGCTCGTGGTTCGGTCCGCTACTCCCTGGCGGGGCAGGTACGGGTATCTGGGCGGCGGTGTAACCGAGGAGGCGGGAAGCGGTAGATTCGGCCTGCTTGGCGGAGTGCGCGCGATGAGGCGGGAGACGGCGAGACGAAAGAATGCGCCGCCGAGGGGAGATGCTGCGCTCGTATGGCGGCGGCGGCGGGCGGGTTGCAGATGTGATCGGCAAGCGGGTGTCGAGCGGCTCGTCAACGAGGAAAGTGGAAGAGGGACCGAGTCAATGCGGCCAGGGCAGCTTGCACCCAACACAACGATGAGTAGTGGCCATAAATAGTTATGAAAATCTTCCTAAAAGCCACTCGATTTATACTTGTTTTGAATTGACTCAATTTTTGTTTTGGGTTCTTTATCTGTCTGACTGTGAACAGCGGTTCTCCTCCTATCACACTAAGCTTGCTGCTCCTATTTATTAGGGGGGTGGTGTGATTCTCACATCAAACGGTATAAAACGAAGTCTAATAACGTCGAACACGGGGTGACCACACACAACCCCCTAACAACCACATAGCCAGGGCCCGCTTATCATTACCTAATTAGGCTAGACTAGTTAAGGTTATACCCTAGTGGATAGACATTATCCTATACTAAATATAGGTCTAGGTAGATATAAATAGCTTATATTATATTAATAATTAGAATATTTATTCTTTTCCTTTAAAAAACACTTCTCTATATATAATAACTTCCCTATATATATATATATTATTTTCTTTACTTTTAATATCTTCTTATAATAAATTAGATATTAATAAAGGCCTTTACTATATATAAGGTTTCTAAATTAACCTTATATAGCTATAAGTAAGGTATAAACTTTTATAAGTAGGCTATATAGAAATAGTAAGTAATTCCCCCCTTTTAAAAGACTTATCTAGCTAATTATATTATATATTAAGCTAAAATTAGCCTAACTCTATCTTATAAGTAAATTAGGATATTTACTATATAGTATTATATTAAATTAGGCTATTAATACCCTCTTAATAAGTATTAGCTAACTTACTTTCTTTAATACTACCTTAAAATAGTAATAACCTAGGCCTAGCTAATTAGACTAGATTAGGCTACTAGTATAACCTTTATAAAGATCTTTACTTTTTTTAACTAATTATAATACTTAGATTATAATAATATACTTAATTTAATAATTTAAAATATAAATAAGATAAGCTTATATAAGGGATTAGGCCTAAATAGACTAGTCTTTAGCTAGGCTAGCTAGAAGTTAACCTTAGTTATATAGCCTAAGTTAAGTAGTTAGATTATAATTTTAAAATATATTTTTATAGCTAAAGGGTTAATTAACCTAGTTATTCTATTTAAAGGCTAATTAAATATCTAATAGTATTAGTTTAAGGAAAAACTAGATTTTAACTTTAATTAGTCTTATAAGATAACTTTAAAAAGGTAGACTAATAATTCTATTATAATTAATTAGCTTATAAATTATTTTAACCTACTTATATAACCTACTAACCCCTTATAAAAGTAGCTATTAATTTTAAATAGCTATAATAGCTACTATTAGCTTTATTTTATATAGCTAGCCTTCTAATTAAATATTATACTACTATATTTACCTACCTATATATTATATATCTTATAACTACTTAATATATATTAAGGGCTAGGCTATAGAGCCCGCCCTAGTCCTTTTAGAGTAGCTAGTATAGAGCCCTTAAGGGGCCCCTTATAGGTATAACTAGATAATAATAAGTTAGTATTATTATTATAAATCCTTTTAGCCTTATAGTTAAGAGGGTTATACACTATAAGGCCTACTAATAGTAAAAGTACTAG